TGTCAGTAAGAGTCATAGTTAGTGTAACTGCTCGGCTTCATTTACTCCTCTCGTTGGGTGTCCGGCTCCTCGCATTCAACACTCGCGGAAGTCTGATCATGGGTTATGCAGATCATACTGGGGTAGCGGAAAGTCTCCGAAATCCCCAGGTTCAGGCGGAGTCTCCGCCCGATATTCAGGTCCGACGACCCCAAAACGGTCACATCCGATGAGTCTATGCGGGCGAGTCTTGGCATTTGTCCTTGTTATGCATACATTCGGGCCGTGGCCGATCGATGCTACCCTTTCTGCTTTCTCTAATGAGTATTTGGCTTAGTTTGCAAAAGATTACTTGGTGTCAAACTTGTCACGATATGTCTGTTTTTCAGTGCAGGGCTGGAAGAAGCGCCGAAGACTGAGTAATACATATTATAGTCAGGAGCCGGAGGGCTTCTCTTGACATCAGTTGACAGGGCTTGGAGAAAGATCATAGGTGGAACAACCGTCCTCTAAGAAGTGAATGTTCCGCTTAATGGCCGAGGGTGATGGCAATGATCGGGATGGCTTCAAACACCTGAAGCGAGTCCTATGATCAGGCGAAAAGTTCGGAACGAGAGAAAATGGAAATGATCTTCCTTACAAGCGACGAAAGATTTGTGAGAGAGCAGGGGAAAATCGTGTATAAGAAGCACAGATGGCCTCACTAAGTGCCACGATTTTGACATCTTCAAACAAGCCACTGGAATAAAGATTACAAGATCTATAAGCCATCAACATGTTCACCCTTCAAGCTCTTCAACTTGCCTCCATGTGTACACTTGTGTACGGTCACGGCTACCTTAGTAAGCCCATGAGCCGAACCGGTCTCAACGCTGAGGTAAACATTCCCATGCTATCTCTATGACTCCAGTTAACAAGCGACAGGCCGGCCCAGATACATGCCCCGAGTGCACCATCCTCGAGCCTGTTACTGCCTGGCCAGACCTTGACGCCGCCAAAGTCGGACGGTCTGGTCCATGCGGCTACAACGCCCGAGTCAGCGTCGACTACAACCGGCCCGGAGCCAACTGGGGGAAAGAACCCGTCGTCACCTACAAGCCCGGCCAAGTCGTTGATGTCCAATGGTGCGTTGATAACAACGGCGACCATGGAGGCATGTACGCCTACCGTATCTGTCAAGACCAAAACATCGTCGACAAGTTTCTTGACCCAGACTACGTCCCCACCGAAGCTGAGAAGCAAGCTGCTGAAGATTGCTTCGAGGAAGGTCTTCTTCCCTGCACTGATGTCGATGGCCAGGAGTGCGGTTACAGTCCTGACTGTTCAGCTGATCAGCCGTGTCACCGCAACGATTGGTTCACTTGCAAGTCTTTCGATGGCAACTCGGATGGCAAGGGTTGTCGTGGTGTTGACAATGCACCGATTAACTCGTGCTATACCTCTATTGCTGGTGGTTATACTGTGTCTGGCAAGATCAAGATCCCAGACTACGTCTCGAACCATACCCTTCTGTCATTCAAGTGGAACGCGTTCCAGACCCCCCAGGTTTACTTGACTTGTGCTGATATCGCGATCTCGGCTTGATCGTATTTGCATGTCAGGCATGCGATCTTGGCGGCAAGATTCCGTGGGCTGGTGATGCACAGAGAGTGTTGTCGTTCAGCCGAACCCAATACTGAAGTGGTAGTCAACAGCCTGTACGATTCTGTGTTATTCTTTGGGTTGGGAATTTACTTCTCCCCTATGAGACCAAAACCTTTAGCTAGCTTGTGTGAAAACCAAATTCTCACTCTTTTGTCCCAACAGACCCAAACCACTTTACATCACAGTGCACTCGTTTCCAACACTAGGACCTACGTGATGAGATTCTCTTTCTCTCGGCTCCGTCTCCAAATCCTCCCAGTAGATGAAATCCATGAATCCAGAACGAGCTTCATTCAAAGTATCAGCAACAATCCTCAAAGACTCCTCATTATCCCCCTTCAGCGCAAGCAACGCGAGAGCAACTCTCTTCTCCAGCTTCCAAGGCCCGGATCCTTCATAAGCCTCAAAGTACACAGGATTTCCAGCTTCTTTTAGCCGTTCCTCTATACGACCAAAAGTGATGAGGAGCCAACAGGTGACGCCAAGATAGTTGAGGCTTGAAATTGGGGCGATTCCTGCTACGTCGGAGAGAATGTCGAATTTCGCCAGATCGAGAATATCGCGGCCGTCGAGGACTTCTGATCCAGCCTGTGGAGGGACCTGAAAACCTTCTGGTGCGTACTTGTTCAAGACCTCATTAGGTACCTCGAGCGTATTGTTCGCAATGGAAGAGAGTTTATTTGTTGCGTCAATGATCTCCTCGTCGGTCATTCCAACTGCTCTTGCCTTCCGAACAAGGACAGTGTCCTCGAGCTTGTTCTGGCTGAGAGGCTTTGCTCGACTGAGGCGCTCAAAGAACAACATACTGCCAAATTGAAGCTCCTCATCGGGAATGGCCTCGAGGTTCCAACCAGCCCGACGACAAGTGGTGAGCATAGAGTTTCTCTTGAAAATATGGTTGATCTCCAAGTCGAAGAGCTGATGAATGTTCTCGGCATATCTTCTTCTATACCGCATCGCCTGTCTCTGCGCCTGAGCCTCTCTGGACCCTGGCTGTCCCACAGACGCAAGCAGAGCATCCACAAAGCCCGATGTCGGTTTGCGGCCCTGTGCGAAGAACGTATGCTTAAAGAGATCCTCTAGCGTAGCGCACAATCCGATGGGTCGAGAGAGGTAACCCTTTTGTACCACAGCATTGTGAAGATGAATCATCAGCGTTGGCTCAGGCAAACGTTCCCAAAGGAACATGCCAAGTCTGTAAGCGATCTCAAGACCTTCTTCAAGGCCAACTCCACAAAGAAACGGCGAATACTCTTGCAGGCCATTCGCATCGTGGCCTGCAAAGCGTGACGGCGGTATGGTATCGAGGCCAGTCGTGTATTTGTGCTCCCCAAGAAAGTCGACAAAATCAAGCTGAGCGATTTTGATGATCTCAAAAAAGTCTTTGTGCTGCTCCATCTTACCATCCTTCTCCAGAATCTGTTTAAGCAAATCGACCGTCTGGCAGTACCCAGCAAACACGCGCTTGTTCTGTCGATCGAGAAAGAGGTCCACGTCTCGTCTGGCACGACCCTTCTTTGCTGGCGCTTCAAGCATATGGCCGTGCAGAGCACTTAAAGTCCAACCGCGAGAGACAGTGAACGAATCGACGATGCACTGCATCTGGAACACGTGGTGAGGATAAATCATCTTGGTGATGTCGGTGCCGGGCTTCTTCATGGCCATGTTTGTGATATCGCCTGCGAACTCTTCCAGGCCGAAGAGGACTCGGTGGACGCCCCAGGGACCGTTGGCAGACCAGTCCACATCTTCGTAGACATGCTTCTCTCCTCTGACTGTGTTTCTCTGAACGACAACAGACGAGAACACGTTGACAAGATCGTAGAGCCATTTTATGGTATAGCAGCGACGCCAGTGGACTCGCTCCTCATTCGTAGCCCGTTCCAAGTCGAAGGTTGGATCCCACTTGACGAGCTTTGCCTGCATGGCCTTTGTCGGCTTCCCAGTACGATTGGCCTGGAAGTCAAGAAGAAAATCTCTCAGATCCTGATACGCATGGATGAGGAACTGCTCCTTGATATCGACGGCTGTCTCCTTCTGACTGTGCTGTTCACCATCTGGGCCTAGCGCAAAAAGAGCCAGTCTGAAATTCCCCTGTGCTTTCTCCATGTTGCCTCGAGTGATGGTGTTCATGATGGTTTTGTAAGTGTCGTGACCCGGAAAGTCGACAAAGATCGCCGCGTTGGTGCGCTTGACCATGGTGATTGTCAAGTTGCTTACAGCTCCTGCGACAGCGCTGTTGAGACCTTCGTATGCGACCTCCTTCCAGATGCTTTGATTGTAAGCGCGGAGGGTGGCCCATTCTTTGACTGTTGAGTAGACAGCGAGTAGATAGTCTGTGACAAGACCGACCTCGCCACTATCCTCGATGATGCGAATGCTCTCAATAGGTATTTCGTCAGTCGCGGGGTCTTGCGTGTCCTGTTTCTTGCCCTTCTTTGGCTTCTTGTATTTTCTCGCCTTTTTGCCCTTGCCCTTTGGCTTTCGTGAGACCTTTCGTGCAGCGACTGGTGAATGTGGCTGAACGACATCGTCCTCTTCATCGCTCGACTCTTCTTTGTCGACACTCAGTTCTTGGAATTTGTTGGCGAACAGGATCTGTTCAACATCCTCAGTATCATCACTGGTCGTAGCGCTCGTATTTTCCCATTCTTCGCCGCCAAGAATCCTGAAAGCACTGCGGAGGGTGTTTATGAAATGTCGGTGACTCTCGTTACTTTGTTTGAGTTCCTCGTCCGAATCAGGCCCCATAAGCTCTTGAAACGTAGTGCTAACGAGAGATCTCGCCTGAATGATGGACTCGAAAAGCCGATAGATGACATTCGGTACAGGCTCCTTGTGCTGCGAAATGAGAGTCGACATGGAAATCAGGCCATTCACCGTGGTTTGACCTGTCGTGTTGACAGAGGCGGCTGATTGAGCCTCTCCATCAGTAGATCTGAGGAGACGATTGGACACGTTGATCATCCAGTACAACAAGTATTTTGTGTCCCTCTTGTAGGAGAGGTAGAGGTTCTGAGACACCATCTTCACGTAAGGGACGACCGAGGTTCGCACAGAGTGATAGTGACCATGCTGAGGGGACAAAAAGAAGGTTTCTGGTTTGTTTTTTTGAGTCTCAATCGCGTTGCTGGGGTCACGTGTTGACGTGACACAATTGCGAACCACCAATTCACCATGTTTATTTGTTTATTTACATGCTTGCCAGTGGTGATGTACTAAATAAAGTTCAAATGTGGATGATTGTCCGATGCGAGATGTATTGACGTGCAGGTACAAATGCTACAGCGTCACCAATGCAACCCCGCAGAATTGCTACAGGAGTTGAGTATATACTGCTATGACTAAGCCATCCAGCTGGGACCTTGAAGCTGTCTTTAGCTGCACTTGCCAAGGAAGAAGCTTCCTGCAATAGAATTAGCATCACATTATATCTTGTATCTCAGGAAAACTGTCGGCCATAAACGCAACTTACCCTGGTACGAACGGCACGTCAGTCCACTATTGCACACTGTTCCGCTATAGTTGACGTTGCACCAGTCTAGAAGAAGTGATCCGTGTTAGTGGCTTCCTGCTGTGAAGTTGACAGTAGATGCAAAGAATATACTGACCTCCCTTACGACGCTGGCCCCAGCATACGTATTTGTCAGATCCTGTATGAGGCATGCAGTATCCGCTGAGACATTCGGTGTTCAATTGACACGCCGCGCCATCTCCACTAAGAGCAAGAGCTCCAGCAGCCATGTGGGCGATGAGAAAGAGAGTAGAAGTAAGCTGCATGATGCTGACCGATGCAAAAGGATTATGATGCAAGATGAAGAGGATTACTTCAATGAGGACCTCTTGGGTTTATATAAGAGAAAGCTATGGAGTATAGAAAGCTCCTGTCTCTAGACCGCCTCGTGTCTGCTTGTCCGATTTAAAGTTCACGGCATTTCACAGAATTTGCCCACTTTCCGCACCGGCCATTTGGGTATACCAGCAGTTTCATGAACCTAGCGGTAGTGGGTCTCGTTAATATGTCAGTACGAGAAGAAAGTCAGAAGGTTTAATCAAGTGACAATTATCGTCTTGACTGACCCACCTGAAAGTAGAATATACTTTAAAGCTAATGCGCAAACGGCAACTTGACGTCGATTTATATTAAGACCTGCAGTGTCTGCGGTGCGGTGAGCAGCTGGGCAGCTGAGCACAAAATGCGTAGTCAGAGTTTGTATCGGCTAACTACAATATAAAGGGCAAAAGGTATTTACAGGCATATTATTTATGATAATAGGCACTAACCTCTCTAATTGAAATGTTAATTAAGCTTATATTTACTGCACTTTGCAATGTTACCGTTCATGGCTTATTTTGGTGTAATGTAAGGAAGATAGCAAGACCTGGATATCTGCCACTTGCTACTCTCTAACTTCCAAGTATCAGATCTACCCAAAGTTTAGCTATCTATATAAACGCGTCTCGTCCCCACTGTAGTCTCTTGATACGAAATATACTTTTAGCCGAGAAAGTTACTTTTTACCGCCCCTATAGAGTAATCGATTTAGTTTTCCGATGTAACCAAACTTAAGTCAAAAGGTTTGATTACTGTTGGCCTTAATCCCCCTGCAACTGGAGCCCATATCTGAATGATACAATCACAATGGACTAAAGGCAGATGTTTATTCAGTATGAAAAGAGTTTCTTAAACCATAAACAATAGGAGCTGCTATTAGACATTGGAGAGCTTTGCCAGAATATCGCCTTGATAAGCTTCCTCAAGACTATAGTCTTCGCCATTATTGCGATCAATTCCAACGTACTCGAATGCCTTTACCACGGCGTCTTTATCATATCCCAGAGCGACGAATTGATCCATCAGATTGCGGTTGTACCCCCCGTAGCTAGCACTACTGATGGTTAGTGGCACTGTCATTGAGAAGACACGATTGAGTGACATACCTATCAGTTTCTGTAGCTGGGGCTCCTGCGTACTTTACAGCTCACTCCTGTGCCCTTTCTTTGAAGAGAGACGGGGTCTCCCGAGACTGCAAGTCTGCTTCTTTATTGAGAGGGTATTGTGGGTCAGGATGCTGGTGTTGCTTTCATAGTATTGGTTGGGTCCCATGAGCCGAGAGCACCTGGTGCAATCTCACCCTAGCATCGTCATTTCGATTACCTTACAGAGGCTATCTTGTGCGCCGCGTGGTGTATATCGCACCGTACCTGCATTGACATTCGGATGATATATCCTTTGATTGAACTTCATTGATGGCTTCGTAAACGGATAGTCATCAGGGACTAATACGTTGATGGTGTAAGTACCTCCGCAGTAAGGTGTATCTGGTGGAATTGACAGGGAAGCCACGAGATGAGTTAAATCATCTGGGTTGCCTGGCTGCAAATTAACGCCGGTATCCTGACAATCTTGAAGTTCTTTGGCAAGTTGTCTTAGACGCGAGCTCATGGCCGCTGTGTCCATTTTGAGAGTATTAATTGAGAGCTATTTTGAAGCAGAGTGATGCAATGTGAGAAGGAGTATTGATAAGAGACAGTCCCTAATTTAATGAGAAATAGGAAAGAAAGTCACCTAAAAAGATCGATAGGACCACGTGTTGTTACGGGAGACTGGAGCACCTAAGACAGCCATGTCCAATCTCGATTGGCCAGCCAAAATCATAAATGCAGAGTAAAGCACTATCGCAGGTACGGAACATTGGAGTAGTCTGGACCTTCAATCGCTGCTGTTGCGCGGGATTAGGCTGAGACTATTGGAGCAAGTTAACACCAGTTAGAATACTGGTTTTGGTGCTTGAATCGGCAAGCGGAGAATCTGTAATCCCATGGACAATTCAACGGTCATGGACTCATGGGTCCGTTTACAGCTAATAACTCAATAAACCCCCTCGATAACAATGGACGGCTCTCGGAATCAGCGCCAATGAGATGAGCTGGCTACGCGCTCACCAGAGCACCAGACGATGCCGATCCTCGAATTTAGCCAGTCTTGACGCGTCGCCCAGAGGCTAGAGCAGACAGCTGCAGAAAGTGGCTGTTACAGACCCTGGGAATTGAACGAGAGCTGAAAACATCCCTGCTTGACACTAACCCATCTGGAGTCATACACTACTGCGCCTTGATAGGCAATCACAACGGCTGCCAATTCACCGATGAAGTTGCTCACGGCAGACAGGAGATAGCCTGATTGGTATGATCATGCGCCGAGGCTTGAGCTACCTGACTAAATCTTAGCTCCCGCCCTCCACAGTCTTGACTTTCTTCCACCATTTTACCTTTGGTATATCTTGGAAAACGTATGGAATCGCAATGAGCGCCATTTTTGGGACCCAAGCCCGTGACGAAGCGCAACAGCTTATAGAGAAGATTGCTGTCGGCCATGGCTACATCGAGGCAGCAAAGCTGGATGCCATGCCACCCGATATACGACGAGTGGTGGAGGAAGCATTGAAGAGTAATTCCAAGTCTCATGCCGCCGCTACAGAGTAAGTCGTCACAGTAAGATCCTCTTCGCATCTAATCTCCCTCTAGGCTCGTACAGAAGTTAGCTGCGGGGAACATCAATGTTGCGTTCGAGCTGCTCCAGAATGCGGATGACAACCAATACACCCGCGCAAAGGCCGCGTGCGCGAGTCCAGGTGTTCAGTTCATCGTTACTCCAGATATGGTTATTATAGGCAGTAATGAAGACGGTTTCACAGAGAGCAACGTCAAAGCTCTCTGCGATTTCGGCAAGTCTACCAAGGCTGGCACGTCAGGCTACATCGGACAGCCGGATGTAGGTTTCAAGTCGGTTTTCACTATCGCTTCCAAGGTTCAGATAGAATCTGGGCCTTTCTCATTCTACCTTCAGCACGAGGACGGCGATTCTGGTATTGGAATGGTGAGACCCCACTGGATTGAACTACCCGTTCTTCCCGACCATGTGAAGGATCATGAGGCGTATGGCGGTCTCTTCGGAAACCGGACAAGGATCATATTGTTTCTCAAGGAGCAGAACAGAGAATTTCTACGGAGTAGCTTCATTAGTCAGATCTGGGATACACCAGATAGTGTGCTACTCTTCATGAAGAATCTGCGGTCACTGAAGATCACGGTACTAGGTGACGACAACAAAGTTCGGCGCTCGAAGGACGTGCTTCTCGATAGAGACTTATTCGGCTCTGGAACTCGAATTGCAACGACGAAGAAACTCGGCCCGACTCAGCTCAAGACGTGGAATCGCTATCTCGTCTACAGATCAACGGTAACAGGTTTGCCTGGCAACCCGAACCGAAAACCAGCTCCAGATTCCTCAGCAAATCCTTCCAGCGCAGAAGTCGTACTAGCCTTTCCTGTAGATGATAAAGGCGAGCCAATTGTCGAAATTCAAAAAGCATATGCGTTTATGCCACTCTCTGAGACTGGGCTGAGCGTCAGTATATTTGTCCATACGGCTTGGATGCCCAGCTAATCAGTATACATAGTTTCTTATTCACTCCGACTTCGTTACCGATGCTGCGAGACAGAAACTTATGAGTTTCTCAGAGAGAAACGCAAAAATCAAGACAGCAGTTGAGGAAGCAGTCGTAACGGCGATCCAAGACATCTGTAAAAAGCCTGGCACAGAACACAAATGGATGCGTTTCCTTCCCCAGTTGAATCGAAACGCTATCGATACATTCTGGCTCGGATTAACTAAAACCTTAGGATCCAAAATCTCTGACATACCACTTTTGCGTTCAAATCAGTTATTTGGCGCTTTCTCCAAGATATCCTATCTCAAGCGCCTTTCTGAGGATCAACTGGACCAACATGGCGCGCCGCTTTTGCCTGATCTACAACAAGAGCTGTACTTGTCTTCGCGATATGAGCCCCAGGACCTCGATATTCTCAGTCAGTATGGACTCACGTACATGCCGAACTCGGAGGTCATATTGAGGTTGCAAGCTTTCACCGGGCGTGCTGAGTGGAAGACGAGAACTTTTGAGGAGCGAGATGAAGATTGGCATGCTAGACTGGCACGTCTCGTCTTGAAGCTATGGACTGACACACAATCCAACTGGAAGAATGTCATTCTCTGCTTGAAACTCATCCCACTTGCTTCAGGGGACTTGAAGAGTGTCACTAAGGACGCAAAGAACGAAGAGTTTTATGACAACATGATCGACAGCATTCTTATCCCTGAAGATCTGGGTTTCCCAATTCTGCTACCGGCAGCCGCAGCGAATCCGGATTGTCGTAAACTTTATAATGTGTTTGGACCAAAGACTCTTGCTGCTCAACAGGTCCGTGAGAAGATTATTAGGATGTACAAAGATCCCGCTCAAGTGGCTAAGCTTGACGTGGCTAAGTCAAGAAAGCATCTTGTCTATCTCTACCGAATGGAGCCGAAGGACTTCATCACCAAGGAGGAGCAAGAAATCATGGTTGTCTTTGACCAGAAGTTACGCATCAAGCGTCCGAAAAAGGAGTATGTCTATCTCCCCGGCGAAGGACCAGTAGCCCCATGGAAAATTCTCAATCCCCCATTCCCGGATGGGCTTGAGCCACCAGATGTATCCCTTCTGCACCCAGCATATCTTGAAGACCCACCGACCGCATCAGCTGGCAATGAGAAATCATGGATCCAATGGCTCTACAACATTATCTACTGCGAAGAAAAGATCCAGCTGTTCTCTGTACGAGATCCGTCTGCAGAAGCGGACAAGACTTACTCACCAGAGTATAAATTCCTCGTCAAAGCCTACCCGGGCCTTACGCTTCATAGACTCATGCTGAATTTCCAGAAGCCAGAGGTCAAAAAGCAGTGGGTTGATGACAAAAAGGGCACAGCTCTTATGAAAAGAATGGAGTTTCTCTGCACTGATGGTATACGGCATCCTTTGGAGGAGACTCTGCTTCCACTGCCAAAACTGTTAGAGAGCTGTGAGAAGAGCTTTGCGTCAGTGGATAGCATGCCGTTTCTTAAACTTGACGAGCCTGTGAAAGACGATGATGTTCCTGCATGGCTCGACTTGGCAGAGCATTGCGGTATCGGGACTAAAGACGACACCAAGTTCACTCTGGCGATACTCAGCTCTATCTCTAAGACCACCAAGGAGATCACAAGTGATATTTCAAAAGCTGTGATTGGTCTATACCTTGAGCTTGAATCTCGGGTTCCCAATGGATCCTTGAGTGCCACTTTTGCAGCACAAACACAGATCAGGTGAGGCAAACTTCTCATTGTTGGCGAGGACGCAGACTAACCATAGCAGAAAATCCTTTACCGACAACAAATGCGTTCTCTGCACACCGCTCGGATCCTCGGATGTAAAGAAACCTGCTCGATGGGCTAACCAACCCGCATGCCTATGGAATGCACCTCAGGGTATTCAAGTCTACAACCCTCTGCGTTCATTATGGTCCTCTGTGCTCGAACAAATGGAGCCTGGAGATGCTGAGAAGCTGGAGCACTTTTTTAACCACACACTCGTTATTCGAGACATAACCCCGCATGACGTGGTCAGTGAGCTTGGTTCCCTATCTCGGTCTCTGGATCAAGATAAGGACTACTCAGAGGTAGCAAAAGAGCTTTACAAGATTCTTCAAACGCAGACAGAGAACCTCAATGACATCAACACACTTATCATCAAGTAAGGGCCCGTCAATGTAACCCGTTTCTATTTCCAGAGCAATAACTGACAGATTTCTAGGCAAGCCTTTCGAGATTCCCCTCTCATTTATGCCCCTGGTCAAGCGAACAGGAAGTGGTACAAAGTCTCAGAGTGTATATGGTCTAGCGAAGGTGCCAGTCAGGATGAACTGAGCCTGGAGCCACTCTATGCAGACCTTTCAACTCTTTTCGTATCTTTCCTTGATGTTCCGAAGATAAGTGCTTCGCTTGTCTATCAGCATATTCTGAACATCGGGAACACTACTCAACCTATTCCAGAAATCAAGAAACTCCTCTGGTCTCTACTCGATAGCCTGAAAACCAACCAAGGACCATCAAATGTCTATGCGGCAGATAAGATAAAGGCATGTCGAGTCTTCCCTGTAAAGGGACTGTCTGGCGAAGTTCAAACCACGTCCGCTTTGGTCAGCTTCTATATAAATGACCGACCTATGTACGCGGCTGCAATGAAGGGCAAGGCTAGCATTCTTGACTTTTCTGTTGAGGAAGTGCATCGTCTGAAGCCTGTTATTGAGTGGCTGGGCTTGACTGATCGCTACCTCTCCAAGTCAGTAACAATAACAGAAAAAACATCTGTTGACGAATCGCAAGGCGTGGAGGATAGTGTTCTCACGCGAGATATCGCTGGTAAAGCTGATGCACTTGCCATGTTTGTCAAACCACCTATTATTTCAACCCTATATAAGCTAATGAGACCAAACAGCATTTCTTCTCACTTCAGGAATGGCCAACCTACGGTACGGAGCTACAACCTGCAGGACACAATACGCAAAGTACAAGTGTTCCGCCATCCAGACATAAAGTCCAGTATAACCTGGCATCAGGCATTCAGTACTAACACAGCACCGCTGGCGAGGAGTGGGATGCACTTCCAGCTCGCTCTGTTCTCCAAATGGAAGTTCTACATTCCGCAAGACGACCAGGACGGCGATTTCTGCATGACTACGGAGTTCCCGCGGATGCTCACCGCTCAGCTTCTAGAGTGTACAGTACGTGATGTAAACTCCGAGGCTGCCATGATTGTTGCCAGTGTCCTTCAAGCTAAGCTCTCCAACGTGGGACGTATCCTCCAGCACTATGGGATATCCGAGGCTGTTGCATTGCCAGATGACATACCGGAACCACCACGTACACCAGAGAGGCGAAGAGACAATGGTGCCCCCTCTCCTTCTCCATCACCGCATTCAGTTATCAGATCTCCTGTCCCTGCTGTAAGCGCTGATCAGGTGATCCGTGACGCTGCTACTCCATACCAGGCCTTGCTCATTCAAGCTGTCAATGTCGCACGCATTTCGACCTTTCCGCACAAGAACTCTGTCTTTGATATGACTGCAATATCACAAAGCCTTGCAGAGAGTACAGCTCGTTCTAGACTATTCAGATTCTATGTCGGAGACCAGACAGAGTGGCAGCGAATGGTTGGTGCCGCTGGCGAGTTATATGTAAGTGGGCTTCTGTCATACAATCGAGCTTTGTGGCTAAGAAAATAATTGCAGGTCTTTGAGCTGCTTTCAACGATTTCCCATGCTCTTCCTGGATGGTCTCGAGATAATTGGCAAAGTACTGTGAGACACCATGCCAGTATACACCCTGACTATAACTCCCTTGGTAGTTGGTATGGGACAGAGCAAGGGGACCTGTTCTTTGATGACGTGGCAGGAACATTTACCAGCTATTTGATCGAAAAGGGTTACCTCGACGAGAGTTGGAGAAAAGAGCGACCAGAGTACTACATCGAAGTCAAGACTACAACATCGGCCCGTCTCGACACGCCATTCTACATGAGTAAACATCAATATGCACGGGTAATATCTTCAATCCCTTGTATGCAAAAACTGTCTACTAACAACCTTGCAGATGCAGTCGTTTGGTAAAAGCGTCAATACTGACACGCAAAGGCGGAAGGTCTACATACTGTTTCGGGTACACGGCTTGGAATCAGGCCAAGTTGGGTTGAGGATATTCCTCGATCTGGAGGCTTTACGCAAGAGTGGAGATCTAGTATTTGAGGCTCAGAGTTGGACGGTCACACCAAGAGCAGGACAGTAGTATATATATGTAGTGGATCTATCAGATCAGTATTTCTAGGGCATCTTATTCTTTCCGATTCTCTTGGGCAATTGTAGTGGGTAGCTGGTATACTGCCCGGATTGATTTTGATAGGAGTGTTATTTTGAGCTGATAGACCCCACAGCTGATGGCTTACATCGCGCGCCTCACACTTTACACGTTATTCTTTCAATTCAATCTGCCTTCCTCCCTTTTACCCCGTTCAAAACTACCGCTGGCTTACTTTGACGTGCGGATTCTTCATCAGCTCCCTCAGGTGTGCTCTTCAACCAAAGAACCCAGCAGATCATCAAAACGGCGGTTAGAGGGATAACGATTGCAAAATAAATCCTCACTTGCTGGTTCGTTGTTTTGAATTCGAACATATTAGTAGAAAAGACGGTGGCGATGAAAGCTCCTGGGAGAAAAAGAATCGTCAAGATGGACAAAGTCTTCATAGCCTTGGAGTCTCGCAGTGACTCACTAGCCAGCCTGGCTTGGAGATAGCTGTCATGCTGCGTGATCAAGTTGAATAGCTATAGTGGCTCTTATCAGTTGCCGGGAACGGGTAAAACAAGCGAATGCGACACTTACGACATTGCGTTGACTCTCAATCTTTCCAGGCAGACTCTCGAGATCTGATTCCCGACTCCGAGACATTCTCAAGTATACCTCCGCAAGGGTCTTGAGTTGATTGTCGTTCTTTAATTCCTTCTTTAAGAAATTGCCTAGCTCTTCCTCAAACTTCTTTCGCCTGTTAAGTTCAGCAAGATCCATGCTACACTTATGTAGAGTCATGCTCATCTCCCGATACTGTTTACTAGCATCACCCAGCTTGCCCTTTTCTTCCAAGTGCTCAAGGAGCATCTTATCTACATTTCCAATTTCCTTCTGGATAAGGTCGATTCCGTCCTTGGTAGTCCCATAGTGGGACACGAACAGCTGTAAAGGTAACAGGGTTGGATGATGGCCAAGTCTTTGGACAAGCTTATGGATGCCGCAGAAAATATCCTCCAGCTTCAAATCAGCATCGACTTGAATGATGCCAGATATCTTGATGAACCCCTCCGACACATTGTTGTCGACCATGGTGTGGAGAAGCAAGGACCAGAAGCCTGTACTGTAGAATGGTGTTTGAATGATATATACTGACCGTGTTGAATTAGCTACGCTTTGAGGGTTTTATAAGCCTAACTTACCTTTAGAAGATTTTTCGTCATTTGGAAATACTTCGCAGCCTCCACGGTCATGCTGCCGAGTGACTTGAACGGCAATTGGGAGTTTGAAGAAATCAGATAGAAGTTCGAAAGACGGCTGGTTGAGAAGACCTTTCAATTTGTGGAAAGTCGTGAGCTTGCTCACACTGGACTGTACCGCACTGAGCTATCGTATTAGTTCCGTTTTCTGAGCCCCGGGACTATAAGACATACACTGAATTGGAGAAATGAGTGTTGCGAGAGTCTTGCTGGACTTGTTGTGCCTCTGGGCAGCCTTGAGAATCTGATGTTGGTTCACCAGTTTTCTAGAGCGTGTCAGTAATGGAAATCTCACGCATTATGAGTCAATGACTCACAACGGCCTCGGAGATCCAGGGGAAGGGTCCTCTCGGCACAGTGGCGTATTCATTTCATGCGAGCCGACTTCAGGGAATTTGTTTCCCCAGAGATCAATGACCCACGCTTTGACCTCGTACTCCACTGGCTTGCCCTCCGCTGGGTTTTCCTCGGGGAGGAGGTCTTTGATAGTCTGGTCCATAGCTCCGCTATTCAGAATTTCAGGCTCAGGGTTAATGCTCCCTGACATGCAAAGCCGCGAAAGATCAATTGACCCGAGATCATTCAAGTCGTGGCCCGCTAGGTCGTTAGGTATCAGAGGGGAGGCTCCAGGATCAAAGACCACAGCGTCATCTTCAGTATCTAGCAGGGCATCTTGTAAAGTTTGGAATAAGAATCCAGAAACATCAACCCTGACATCGATATTGGCCTTGAAAATGTCGTCAGTTCTTCGCTTAAGTAAAATGGCCGTTTCCAGAGACGATGGGATCCCTTCTCTGGCAGCCGGATCTTCCGTAATGGCCCATATTGCGACCTTGTTTGGGCCGAAATCTCTTGCCATGATACATGTCTTGCCGGTTAGCTTAACAGTTGAGCTCCTCTGTGCTGAAAATGGTTGCCCAAAGTCTATGCCGCCTCCATCACCAATGCTCGTCCCACTTCTGGGGAGACAGCGGGGCCCAGAAGTGGGACATCTTCTGATTAGGATGTAAGAACTTCAACATCAGAGATGGGCATGCTAGGGTCTAACTTACCTTTGTGAACGTGCCATCAGGCGCGATTTGAAAAATAGTTGGATCAGCGTCATCTCGGTGGAAATGTACTATTATGTTCACTGATTTAATCCGGGTGTTGCTCTTCTGAGGCGTGAATTTGAATGAGAAGACCAGTAACGTAGCTGGCGTCACTGTTTCCTCGCCCATGTATCCGTGGATGGCACCGATAAGCTGCGCCTTGATTGTATAAGAAGATGAGATTCTTTCTACAAGATTCCGACCCTGGAAGGGATCCTGCGGATAATTTCCGACCATAGTGCTAGCACGAAAGAAGCGTAGTAAGTTATTCGATCAGCCATTTTCAAGACCCTGATGGGTGTAAAAGGAAGTGGAGGAATTGGATTGAGGGGATTATGTTTGCTGACAAGATGGCCTCAATTATCCCTCCACTCACGGATGCTCCTATTCCCGAGCCAATGCTCTGCCATGTTCATGCAGCCGCAGACAGGGGAAGTTTCAGCTCTTCAGGATCTCACTACTCAGATCAAATTTACGCAGCATAGAATTCATGAATTTCCCAGGAAGGATTTTATTCAAGTCTAGTTAATCGACATTTGCCCAGACAAGTGATCAACGCCTATATCTAAGAATTGGTAGGCATGCTCGTCAACTTCTCCCCCGTGCTCGCCTCATCCGCCCTCCAAAGCGAAGTAACCGTCTTCCACTGCGTATAAAACCGCAATCCATCCTTTCCATAAAAGTTGGCAAGACCAGTTCCAGCCACACTGCGCTTGTTTCCCGTGAAAGAAAACATGGGCAGAGGAACGGGGATCGGCACGTTGATACCGACCTGCCCAGCGTCGATTTCCTGCTGGAAGAGAGATGCCTTGGCTCCTGAGTTTGTGAAGATGACGGCACCGTTACCCCAGGCGTTGGAGTTGATGAGGTCGATGCCGTCTTTGAGGGTTTCTTCTTCCATGCAGAGGAGGACGGGGCCGAAGATTTCTTCCTTGTAGCATTCCATATCTGGGCGGACGCCGGAGATGACTGTTGGACCGACCTGTATCATGTTAGTAATCAGTGGTCTATTAATCATGGAGGACTCACCCAGTTGCCATCAGGGAAGCCATCGGGCTTGTATCCTCGACCGTCAAGTAGAATCTTAGCACCCTCCTTCTCGGCGCTTGTGATCAGGGCATTACAGCGATCACGACTCTGAGGAGTGATCAGAGGTCCAAAATCCGACTTTGAGTCGAAGCCGCTTCCAGCAATATGATTCTTGGCCTTAGCAACCAGATCGGGCAACCATTGCTTCGCGTCTCCGAGAGTAACCAAAACACTCAACGCCATGCATCGCTGCCCAGCAGCGCCGAAAGCAGCTCCGGCGATCGAGTCAAGAGCGTGATCCTTATTGGCGTCTGGGCTCAGGAGAGCATGGTTCTTTGCTCCAAGGTTCGCTTGCACGCGTTTTCCGTTTGCTGAGCCTCGTTGGTAGATATACTCTCCAGCCTTGTTGGATCCTACGAAGGAAATAGCTTGAATCTCGGGTTCATCAAGAAGGAAGTTGACTGTATCCTTGGATCCATGGACGACGTTGACGACGCCTGGTGGAAAACCAGCTTCTCTGCAGAGCTCAGCGATCATCATAGCCGCACCAGGATCACGTTCCGAGGGCTTGACGATTATGCAGTTTCCTGTGACAGTCGCTACAGGAAGAGACCACAATGGAATCATAGCTGGGAAGTTGAATGGACAGATGGCTGCTACAACGCCTAACGGGTTTCGGTAGGAGCGTGTTTCCATATCCTTGGCAACCTCGAGGACTTCACCACCGAGCTGAGTAGTGATTCCACAAGCAGTCTCACAAACCTGCAGTCCACGAAGAACATCGCCCTTGGCATCAGCAAAAGTCTTTCCTTGCTCAGTGACAATGCTTGTCGCAAGATTATCCATATGCTCCCGGATCAAATGCGTAAGCTTAAACATTATTTGCTGACGCTTAATGATGCTCGTCCTCTTCCATCCCGGAAACGCAGCCTTGGCTGACTTGACTGCTTCTTGCAGTTCATCATTGGTGCTCTCAGGAACACGCGTGATGACATTGTTGGTTGCAGGGTCATGAACTTCGATCCATGACGACGTCTTTGAGGAGACGAGCTTGTTGTCGATGAAATTCTGTGTGTCCTTTGGCTTGTCCAACTTTTCGTGGTTGCCGGGATAAATCACAGACTGATAGATTGAGGTCGAAGGCATTTCTTGAGATAGATGTTGTTGGTAGATGGAAGAAACAAAGAAGGGATAGAATAATATGGTGAGGCGGAAACCTTCCCGATATAGGAGCAAAGAGCGGTCGCCTCCGTTCGGGACAGACCGACAATTACCCCGCACTCTACCACGGACAGTGTCTTGTGACGGCTTATCAGTGTTGGCGGGGCCGATAACCGTTATCGTTGAGGCCTATCGGAGTGAGTTATCAGACATTGATGACCATGTCACCGTCAATTCTCGTGGCTCCACGATGGGCTTTATCTAATCTCCGTTTATTTTGGAGACTGAATATCGTGCCGACCATTTGAGGCTCCAATTGAGTTGAGATCGCCGTCTTCACTGTTGATTCCTTTGGTCCGGCATTGCTCTCGCTAGACTCCACCTGCTCCAACTAAACTTCCCACTAACGTTTTGCCTTAGTGAGGAACTTATGGCACCTTATTTGGTGGCCGGCAAAAGCCTTGACTTGTGTGTGCTAATGCTGCCAGTGGTATATTGCTGTAAGGCGAATATAAACTTCCAGACACTGGGCTTACCTGTCTATAAGTATAATCGACATGCCACTTCATGGTACCTGATTAATTAGTTTTTTGCTTAATTGCCCCCTAGCCCGCTTGTAGGGTTAGTACCATTCACCCCCAAAATGTTCCGCATTCTGGAAATCTGGTCTTCGGGGGATCGACCACCGAGATTCAAGAAATGCCTTCCTATTATAAGTTCTGGGAAGTCCCGGGTCTTTTATCAGCTCTCCAGACCTCTAGGTACTGTCTCTTTATTCATTGTTATCAATTTTACCCCCCAAAATGAAGCTATTCACCTTAGTTTCCCTCGCCAGTTCGCTACATGTAGCAACGGCGGCACCACCAGCGGACAAACATTCTCAAAAGAAGTTTGACTTTGCCAAGATTAACAAGATCGTTTCTTTGTAAGTTATTTAAATTTGTTACTTTCACATATGCCTGACTATAAAATTAGCGGCGATTCATGGACAGACACTCGATTCAATACGTCTGGAGCTCAGCCTTCGGTCTCTAACCCATTCGGAAATACCGGGAAAACAAGCTCCAATGGCAAAATGTGGCCAATGTACTTGACAACACAGTATAATCAGTCATCCGTGTTCCTATATAACATGGCTGTTGGAGGCGCTGTCACTGATGTCAACATTGTCAAGACTGGACCCAACGACGTGGTTACTCAGGTCAATAGGTTTGACGCTTATTTGCAACAGCTAGGACTAAATTTCTTTCCCCCAAAGCGTACGCTGTATACAGTCTTTATCGGAATCAACGATATATACCGCACCATCAATGACGCAGACCAGAATGAGACGGTCATCAAGATCATGGAGCGCCTTGACGAGCTTACAACTGACTTACACGGGCTCGGCGCTCGCCAGTTCCTGTTCATCTCGACACCGCCGCAGTCTCTTTTCCCAAACAACGTTCCAAAGCCCATTGCACCAACTCTCAAGGCAGCATCTGAAAACTGGAACGAGCAGCTTCAAAAACTCTTGAGCCAGCTCGACCGCAAATTGTCTCATAGTACCTTCTTCTTGTTCGACATTGTCCCGTTGTTAACTGCTGTCACCAAAGATCCGTCTCAGTTCCCCGAGACTGCGGTGTACAAGAGTACGGGATTCTGTGCAGACTACAAGAGGTACGACACCCTACTCGGTATTTTGAGGGCATCCAGTCTAATAATGATAGTGGTACGGTTACACCTGACTTTAAGTCTGATAATTGTGAATACAACGCGTCGGAGTACATGTATATCGACGGCGCTCATCCAACACAAGCGTTTCACCAAATCTTGGCTAAGAAGATCGCTGAACAATTAGCTGCTGGCCGAACCATTGGCCGACATTGATTGGACTCGAAACTGCTACTTGGAAGTTCTTTGAACAATAGATGGCGGATAGACTATTGACATAGCGCATACAATGAAGACACTATCCGCACATTAGGCTAAAAGAAAGACCAGCTTCCCCGCGTATAACCTTGTCTGTTGGGGGCATTACAGAAGCATTCTGGAAGTCTCGGCATAGAAAGGGCCGAGCGTAAATCGAAGCCATTTACGGATCGACGTGCGAAACCTAGAAATTGCTCGCGATGATAGTCCAGTGCCGCATTGCAGTGATGGCTTGTCAGGTTGGCTCCGGGCCTGTGGCTAGATCCATTTGCCGCCGTGTCATACACACGCAATGCCCATACTCAGCAGTCCATCTTTACTATCATCGATAGTGGACATTTTACCTCGGTCAATTACTCATACTATAATAATCAAATTCAAGAGGAGTTTATTCTAAACTGTCGGTAATTGAACTTAAGAAGACTTCACTAACTTTCTAGTCTCTTTCTTCTTGAACTATTAAATAAATTGTTAATCAAAACCGTAAAGGATTGCGATATACCCGGTTCGAAAAGACTTCCGCATTGACCTCGACTTAAGTGAGGATCGTGTAGAAATACGAGGCCGTGGCAGAGAAAAGGCTACTGATCTTTCCATTTGCGGCCACTATAGGTTAACTAGTCTGTTATCATCAACGCTATGCTTTTTACGATCACGAGAACCATCTAAAATTAGTTCCGGCTCAAATACGAGGTTTTGAAACCAGGAACTGGGCCCGACCGTTCTAGCCGATTTCACCCAACTACAAAATGTTTCCCCTTTTGCTTTCATGATTCTCAACCTGCCAAGACTTCTCGACTTACAGAGGCCAATCGTTGTGTTGCTGCGAGTTCACCTTATAATGCATTGCTACGCGGCATTCGTCGCGATTCTGAGCGCGCAGATCGTCAATGCGCTTCCTCAATCGCAATGGAAAGCCGTGCCGGGAGACGAAGTGGTTCGCGCTGCTGTCGCGTTTCATCAGCCTAAGCTTGCGGAAGCTGAAGCTTTGTTGATGGATATCTCGGATCCTAGTTCAGAGAAGTTTGGGCACTATCTTGAGCTAAGGGAAGTCGTACGTTCTTGTTCAATCTTCTCTCAGTTACTCTCATCCTCACAATGTTTCAGCAAGAATTCTTCAAACCGAGCGACAGTTCACAGAAAAAGGTCCTGCAATGGCTCGAAGATGCAGGAATCGACTTGTCTTCTGTGCATCTTAGGAAGGCAGCTGCTGTTCTAGAGTTCTCTGCTCCCGTCAAGAAGCTCGGAAAGATGCTCGGAGCTGGCGTCCATGTTATGCACAACGATGCGACTGGTGAACTTCGCCTCGAACCTACCGACCACGCAGTTCCATCTGCAATTGAGGACGATGTTGAGTTCATTGCTTTGACTCAATCTAAAAAGACTGGCAAGACCAAGCGTAGCCGTGCAGTCAAGCCTGTTCTAGATACTCTGCCACCGCCATACAAACTCCCAGTTGCAGATGATCTGCGCAACTGTAGCGAAAGCTGGACCCCGGCTTGTATCCGAAGTAAGTCAAGAGCAAACGTCCACCGCTCATTACTAACTGGCGACATCAGAGCTCTATGGCATTCCTCTTGGAACCAAGGCCGCGAAGAATAACTCCATGGGTCTGTTCGGATACGGCGATCCCTACCAACCAGCTGATCTCAACCAGTTTTGGGCAAAGCACGCTCCCTTCATTCCCAAAGGAACAAAACCCAAGGTCAAGAGCATCAACGGCGCCGAGGCAGAAGGTGTGCCCATCGAAGGCGAAGAGTTACTCGACATCGAAATGTCATATCCCATTGTTTACCCTCAGACCGTTACAATGTTCCAAACCCCTTACAACAACAAGGGGGGTCTTGCAAATGACTTCCTCGACGCTGTCGATGCAAGCTACTGCAAGTATGATGGCGGTGATGATCCTGATTTTGATCCCACGTTCCCTGTCTTTGGTGGCTTCCAAGGACCCGCTATGTGCGGCAAGTACCAGGTTACTAACGTTGTTTCGATCTCTTTCGCGATTGATGAGCAAACTCTGTCTCGGCGCTATATCCAGCGACAATGTCACGAGTGGATGAAGTTGGCTCTCAGTGGTGTCAGCGTTCTTGTAGCTTCGGGAGATCGTGGTGTTCAAGGTGCAACGCAATGCACTGTGAACCCTTACGATGCAAACAAGTCAGCTTTCAACAGTCTCTTTCCTGGATCTTGTCCCTACGTTACAGCAGTTGGGGCGACACAGGTCAACTTCACAGGCAGTAGAACCAACGAAGTGGCCGTCTTCGATCCCAAGCATAACTTTTACTCTGGAGGTAAGTATCCTCATAAATGCAAAGGGTTTCACTGACATATTCTAGGTGGCTTTAGTAATATGAACGCCCAGCCAGCTTACCAGCGCAAGGCTGTCGCTAACTATCTGGCCGCTAACAACCCTCACTACCCCAAGGGAACGTACAACATCTCTGGGCGCGCCATTCCTGATGTTGCGCTTCTGGGAGCAAATGTCACTTTCCTCCAAGACGGCAAGACTACGATTAGTGGAGGAACAAGCGCTGCTACACCAATGTTCGCTGCCATGATTAACAGAATCAACGATGAGCGATTGCTGGCGGGGAAGAAACCAATTGGGTTCCTGAACCAGATTTTATATCAGCATCCTGAAGTCTTTACTGATGTAGGTGCATCTTTACTAAAGAATGAGCATTTTACTAATGTTGATAGATCACCCAAGGCTCCAATCCTGGCTGCGACACGGCGGGGTTCAAGGCGGCCAAGGGATGGGATCCGGTCTCGGGAATGGGCTCACCCAAGTACCCGAAGCTTCGTGACCTGTTAGTCAGCCTTCCTTAAGCTAGAGACTCCGTATAGATCGCATTAGATATAAATATTATAATTTGACCTTGGTATTACTTTCTGAACACTTCATCTCAGTCCCAGTTTGCTGCCTAATCGCGATGCAGGATGATGCATGTCACGTGCAATTGTCTTGTGTTTGAGCCGTGATCAAGCGTGAACTTTTCATCCTTCTCAAACCCTCAAACGTCAACTCTACTCACAAAATGGACGCCGCTCTCCTTCCAATCAATGAGCAAACCGCTCGCTTTCGTCAAGCAATAGAATGCAACAAAACACTCATGACCGTTTTATCGCGCGCGGCTGAAATGAAGCTCCCCAATTGGTATCTCGCCGCGGGTGCACTCACGCAAACCGTCTGGAACGTCGTTACCAACCGCGACCCAGAACTTGGAATTGACGACTACGACTTGATCTACTTTGACGACTCAGATCTATCCTGGGAGGCTGAAGATGCGGTTATCCAGGCGGGAAAGAAGATCTTTGCGGATATTCCAACTGAAGTTGAGATCCGCAATCAAGCACGCGTGCATCTCTGGTACGAGAAGAAGTTTGGCAAGCCGTGCCCTCAACATCGATCCAGCGAAGCATCTATGACTACTTGGGGGACAAACACTGCGCTTATCGGCGTTCGATTGAGAGAGGATGGTGAATGGGATATCTTTGCGCCATGGGGGTTCTCGGACATGTTCAGACTCACGGTGCGCCCGAACCAGTTGATCATGACAGAAGAGACATACCACAAGAAAGTTCAGCGCTGGATCAAGTTATGGCCCGAACTGACCATCATGCCTTGGAAATGATGTATGTTATAATCTCAGTCTAGACAAACTTTTGCTATAGAGCTATTAGATAATGATAGATTCGGAGCAATTGTTAGGCTCCACGCATATTGTGTCTATTTAAATCTCCTTCTTGGGTCCTACGTAGACCTTGTTGGCACGAAGGAAATAGTAAATGGTAGCCAATACACCAATTCCGCCAGTCATCAGAGAAGCGTAGTTCATGCTCTTAGCATCGACAGGAGTTTGAGGAGGCCACAAGCTGAAGAACCAGACGATGGTGATGAACATGCAAGCAAAGGTGTTGTTGATGATGCCAAACATTCCCTTGAGATGCCAAGGACCCCATTCGAGAATTTGTCCGTCGCCGTGAATGTTTCGGATCTGGTAGTTTTTATCGCAGCGACGGTAGAGAAGAAGGATGGCGGGCATGAAGTATGATGCGTAGAGGCCTGATATGGCGACTGAGACGATGGCGTTGTAGACGACTGAAGAGCCGAGATTGATGAGACCGATGATGCATGAGATAACACAGGTGGTGGTGATGGACCAAACGGGCATGTTGGTGCGGCTCTCGACCTGAGGTTTGTTAGAAAATATTACCCAAGCGAGAGTATTAGACATACCCTTGAGAGTATAGGTGAGAAAGGCAAAGCATTATCACGTGCAAAGGCCCAGAGCATACGCGATGTCGAAGCAATGACACCAACGGTAGCAGAAAGGGTCATGACGATGATGAGTGACACCATTCCGGCGGTTCCGCCCTTTGATCCAGTGGCTTGGTAAAAGATCTCCATGAAAGGGTATCCAGTTGGCGTCTCAATGGCTGCGTCGATGTCGGTTGCGGAATAAAGCATAGCAATGACCATGCCAAAGCCGAGAAGACCGTTGATGGTGATACTACCCATGATGGAGCGGGGGACGATCAGCGATGGGTTCCTGACTTCTTCACACATCTACGAAACGGTTAGTAACATTGACATCAATTGAGAGAAATTGTCCTTACATGAAAGGAGCAGTCGACACCTGGTGCGCGTTAGTTGAGTGTAGCAATTCATGTGAGATCGAGACTTACCCGTGAATGAAAAGACACAGCCCAACAGTCCAACAAACCATGAAAGACCTTGAGTGGGCCAGTTGCCCGAGTTGCGCCACTCAGTAAACACTTCAGTGCCATTATCATTGTCGCGAAAGACAAGAAGAGTGATGAGAATAGCAAAGAAGCCAATGAGATGCAGAATCAAGATCATCCCCTCCAAAATCGGAAGCAATGCACTGACAACAGTGTTGATAATGATAGCGACCAGGACACAAGCCCAGATCATCAAACTACCATGCCACGTATGCGCCTCATAAGACGGCGTCGTAAAGATAACCAGACCCTGAATCATAGTAGCTGTGAGGAAACCTGCAGCAGCAGACGTTCCCTGCCACCCAGCCAAGTTCATCCAGCCGGTAATGTAGCTAAGATATTTCGCGTATCGTGGTGGCGCAAGCATGGCGACCCAGTGGTACTGGCCAGCAGCCATCGGGGCGATCGATACGAGTTCGCAGAGACACGCGAAGGAGCTGAGGACACCGATCCAGACGAAGATGTAGCCGTAGATGAGACCCGCGCTGCCACCGTTGCTGAGACCGGGAGCGAAGTTCATGAGGGTTCCCTCCCAGGTGACGAGGACGGCGCAGCTGAAGCCTAGAATTGTCCATCCTCCAAAGTTTCTCTACATTGTGTCAACTGGGTTTCGGCAGGATCAATTGGTGTTGCATACCTTGAGGACTGATTTCTTTCCAAGCTTCGCCAATTGCGCATTGTCCATGTGATCCTGATCACTCGACACCGAAGCATCTTCGACCGTCGATCGGGGATGTTTCGCAGCAGGCATATCGTTGAATTCGTACTGAGTAGCCATGTTGATCGTCGTCAAAATGGGGTCAGAATTGATAAAAAAGAATGTCTGCAGTCTGCGCTGCAAATAAATGACCCTCAAGATGGGGGGAGGGGAGTTGGGGAAAGTTTAAAAAGGAACGCCGTCTGCAGCAAAAAAGCTAAATACAACCCTCCCATGCCTGTCAGATATGACAAACAGTTCGGCGAACTTGCATATCCTATCCCTGGCGGTATTATCGCTCGTGGTAACGGTACAGGTGGAACTTGAGGAGAACCACCTGTTGGCGCTACAGCCGAGTAGGGGAGGCATTCCCAACTTGCATGAGACATGCATATCGTAGGATGAAACTACGAACAAGAGTGGACTGAGGTCTTTGACCCTTGTTATCTTCACCAGGTACGCTAGGGACATGCATTGCGCCACACCATTTAACTCATCCCACTTTATTTACAAGGGTTCGGCCCGCGCCCAACGGCAGCATTATCATTGCTAAAGAGAAATATACCGGTACCTACCGCAATTAAGATCCGAGTGGTCAGTGAGCAACCCCAGCAGCAGGATCAACAAGGGCCACCTGGCTATTCTGCCGCGCTGCATCCCACGAACCTCCTCCCTTGCCATGATCCGTCACAATATGCGCAAACTTTTTCACATCCCCCTGCCTGCTCGTCAGCTCGAAAGCCTGCGACCCCGACGTCAGCGTGTGGTTGGACCTAGACTTGTTCCCCGTCCCTCTGGTCGTCCCGCCGCTTTTGCTATTGTTGCTTTTGCTGAGGGCGCCGAATATGTCCCCTGCGCCCATCTGGCCTGACTCGAGACTCTTGAGGAAGCGCCACCAGAAGGGGATGCAGGTGGTGGTGATACCGATGCACTGGGTCACTTGTACGATGATGGTGGGCTTCCACATAGTGAAGATCGGCGTGGATGAGTCGAGGGCTTGTTTGAAGAAGTAGATGTGAGACACAGCGGGAGGGATCATCCTGAGATTTTGTTAGTTTGTGTATGCGTGGCGTAGATGACTTACAGAATGCGTGAGCCGAAAACGCCAACCACCATTGCTTTTGTGCCAATTGGCATCTGCAAGTGTACGAGGATCTCGATGGTGACACCGGTGATGAGAAGATCGGTAATAACGTTGACAGCATCGACGTATGCCCAGAATGCCACCAGATCGACGCATGAACCGTTGATGTAGTCCCAAGATGATGGTAATGAGCATGCGAATGCCCGTACAAATATCGCAGAAACGGCCCAGCCTACAATGATGATTTGGATCGGCAGTATGCGCTTGTGAGACAGCGGTGACATATTTGCAACGGTCGTCGTGGCTGAGATCTTCGAGAAGGCCAGTGCGAGATAAAAGAGAATGTCGGATACGAGTTGGTCCTGATACCGTCAGACCAGTTGCAAACATTTCCTGCTCAACTCACCTTCAGTATCAATGCTGTTTGCCCAGAAGACACATCAAGCTTCCCCATCCCATTCGCACCTTGTGAATAAACGACCGCCGATTGAGCAATAACAAAGATCTAAAATGTCAGTGTCAAGATCATCAGCGATCAAAGCTTAATTGCTCACCATCGACACAAAGATCAGAATATCATCCGACTTGAACAGACTCGACCATCGCAATCTCCTCATCGTAGCAATCCGTGTAAGAACACGAATAAACACCGAGAACATGGTGACAATCATGAGAATCATCGACAGCGCCCGGATAACAGGCGCTTTGTTAAATGGCGTCTCATGTTCACGAGGCAAAAGCATCTCGACGATTTGTGAGGAATTGATGAATTACAGATCAAACACATGAAAACAAAGCCACAAGCGCTTGAGGAACGGGGTGGATTAGGGTGATAAAGCTTCTCACTGATATCTAATTAACGCAATGATGCGACTGGGACCATGCACTCCCTTGTTTTTTCCCCGACCCTGCGTATAAGACATGTGTTTCGGGAGACAACTTATCTCAAGCGGGCATATTAGGACTCGATAAGAAACCACCGAGTCCTCTTTGTTCATGCCACGTTAAACTTACAGGTCAATTCCAGAACACGCAACAGTGTTGGCTGGCTGCTCAAAGGATCTCATCCTTTGATATAACCCCTGCATTAAAGTTCCCTCAGTGCACCAGACCCGGAGATTTACTTTGCTCTAAGCCGTTGAGGCTTTCTCTCACTTCAGGGCCCATCCTTGCGCTATCTCATGATTTTTCGGACTTTGGGTGGGATCACTGAGCCAAGATGGGTAAATCCTTCGCTGGGTGGGGGTCGGGATCAACAGCCGTGCGGCGGATTATGTCGATCTGGGGTCCGGAAACCAATCAAGCGCTCTTCAAAAGTCTCGACCTCAACTGCCGATCCTTTGCCCCTTTCGTGACCGCGTACCAGGGAGGTCAGCCGCGTTTCGGCATCCTCCATTCATCGAACCATGTAAGCTACAGGGGCCATTACAACACCTTTTCTCTTCTCTCATCAATTTTTGGGGAAGAATATCTGTAATGCATTGTATATATGCTTTATTACGAGTGTCGGTTGTGTTTCACGCGTTTAACCGAGACGAGTTTCCCCAGAGAAATATATTGGGCTCGAATTAATATGCTACCTCCTGTAATCAGAGTTTACACTGCTTAAACTTTATTACTAACATAACAGCCCTGTAGATTTGGCACCCTTGTATTTTTTTCCGCGGCCGACGCGGCTGCCTAGCAGGGAATAGCAGACCTGTCAGTGTCAATCTTATCCCACAGTAGTGACATTCTGTCCAAGCTTACCATTCCATTGCTAATCTATGGAGTCGTCTAGTTCACTTCTAGAAGCTGTATATAAAAGGCCCGTCAAACAAAATTAAGCATTCAGCGCTGTGGATTCGGCACATGTTAACCCTGACTAAGAGAAAACAAAGTCCTCGGTCAAGAGCATTGATCAAGTTAGCACGCAAATCTCGACTCCTTCGCTTCAGAACCAATCGATCTCGTACACCCTAAGCGACATGCATCTCACGTCTCATGGGATGATCCGGAATACGGATTGCGATAAATGGAACGTCCCGGTAACCGCGGAGGAAGCTGACCACTCAGATCGAATACCACCCGGCAGAAGCAATTCAGGGGTTGTATTGTGCAAGGATGGTTGAGCCGTGTTGATGGGAGGGGGAGACAAGAAGGTTTTCACTTATGCACGGAACTAACAGGGAATTCAAGCCAGCGGATTCACGGACATTAACGGCGCCGACTTGTGGTCTGTTTTAACAAGAGTTTAGGTTTTTTGCTTTTTGGTCACGCAATGCTAAAGTTAAATCTGTCTCATATCGCTGATTTTTGTTTGGTAGTGATCGGCAGTTGGATGTTGTTCTGGTATTGGATCAATAAAGGTTCTAGAACTTGGGCCTCAAGTCCCTTGCGTTCAACCGAAGAGGAGAGTTTGTAGGCGAAGGCTAGGCGAGGAACAGTGTAACGTGGAGTATTATTTTATAGATGCAGCTATTAGATCTCAGGTGCTCTACGATAAAATGTCACCATTCAACGTAATCGTCAAACCATCGTCTGGAACGTCAACGGTGTCTTCTCATTTATGCATCGGTGATAATACCATCAGGCCTATATCGATAGAACATGAACCATATGGTTCCAGTCGTTTACTGTATATCGCCTCGGTGCGTTTGTTCCGGTTTCTCTCTGCGAGCATAAAGTTTCATCCACTCCACAATCGTAACATCGCGAGTACACTGGAATTTCTCACTGTGATGTCGAACATGGAGAACATGCCAGATTAGGACTACAAATCGCCGTCCTCGTATCGAGCTCGCTTGGAAAGTCAAAGTCATAATTAACCTTATAGCCTGATTGTTACTTAAAGTATGGTTGCAAGAATGATTACGTTGCAAATGCTCAGCACAGGGTAGTTTGCAGAAATTTGGTGGGACACAGATTGTTAGAGCCAGTTAGCAAGGTACTTTTAAATGGCCACATATCAGGAGCCCCTCCATGTCACTACTAGCAGGTTTATGCCAGATGATCGTTTCATGCATATTCCCCTACGAGAGACATTCGTTCAAGCATGCTCCTGGCAATAATTTTGTCGCTTGTAGGCAAACATGGTAATTTTTATGAGGCTGAATGCATGCCAGTTTTGTGTTCCAAACCTTCGGTTTTCTTGGCTCAAGCCAAGCTTTGAGACGTTTGCAAATTCTCCGTCCTCCGACCCAATTTTTGGGTGTCGCTATTTATAGATAAGCTTGTGCGGGTTCACCCGGCGCCGTTCTCGGCAGTTCGCAAAACCCGTCGCGACGATGGCCGAGGAGCAGCGAGTCATTGATCTGGCTTGCATAAATCAATCTGGGATGAGCTTGGAATAGGAACAAACGATGAACATCCTATTACTGCTTGCGTTTTTTAAAGTCCGTACATCTCCATAAGCGCCTTGAATGATGCGTCCTCCAGAAGTTCTCCTGCACTCAGCCGTTCCTCAGGCAGATAAGAAAAGCCTCGTCGCAATATCGAGAGCACGAGCTGTTGCTCCGCAGGCTCAACGGTATCCCTAGATTGCGTTATCCGCGACTCCAAAGACATTCCAGGCTCCGGAACTCTGCTTTGATCGTACCAGCTGTCATCTAGTTCTCCACCACCTTCGTACAAGCCTTTCCAAGACAAGGGCATAGGGCCCAACACTCTAATGAGCAGTCCAACTATGAAGCGAAGTCCACCACCGAAAAATCCATGACCGAAGAGAGGCCACTTCAGGTAGAGCTCAGCGAAGACACACGTGTAGCTCCACATATCAGAAGCAAAAGTCGGGTTTATACCGTGCATTAGCTCAGGCGCGCGGTATCCGATAGTTCCCTGGAGCTTGAAGTCTACTTCAGTGCCAGATCGGATAGTCAGACCAAAGTCTCCCAGAGTTATGGTATCTTGAACAACAAAGCTGTCCTTTGGAGACATTGGTGCCACCAATTGACCCTTCTTCCACATCTCTTGGTCCGTGGGAAATTCCATTTTCTGAGGGCGACCAAGAATCTGATACTTGGTGGATATATCTGCACCAGGCTCGAACGAGGAAAGACCAAACATCACATTGGCGCTGTTGAGGTCTGTCGAGAATGGTCAGTTTCCGCGGATATTAGCGTTGAGGAGATGGGACCAACCTCGATGTACCATTCCACCGTCATGCAGTGCTTTAAGTGCTTGGAGTAGCTGTTTAGCAGCTGACCTGCGCATAATTGTAGAAGTCTCCCGGGCGTAATCTCTCTCAGATTGGGGCCCTTGAGAGGGAAAACAAGGACTCGATGGGGATTTCTCCCTGCGCCGGGTAACAAGAATGCGTCTTGGTATATCAGTAGACGTGAGGTGTCCGACACACAATTGATAATCTCATTCTGCATAAGAAATTCTCGCTCACCCCCGAAGTTCGCTGTCATGATTTTGAGGGCGACATCTTTCCCTCGATCCATATCGTGGGCCATCCAGACAGTCGAGAATCCGCCATAGCCTAGCTTGTGCTCGATTCGATATCTGTCTGCGATAACCTCACCGATGCAAATAGGAAGGTAAAGTCCTTCTTCATATCGGTCGAGGGGTTCGCATGTATCTTCAACGTCACATTCACCGTCTGAGTCTACGAAGTCGCCCCAGATGGAAGATGAGGCTGTGGTATCGACGGTCTCAGAATCTTGCGTAGTCATGGTTGCGACTTGCGGGGGTGGATGTAGAAGCGGCGGGCTGATGCCTAGGACGGAATCTGTGCAGAGTTCCTGATGGTGATTGGAAGCGGAATCCGGAAAAACAATTGTTGCTCACTTTCGTGCAAGCTTGAGCTATTGAAAGACTTATATGTAAGAACCAACTGAACTGTTGTGATTGCCATCATTTTCATCAGGCCCTCGCGCTACTCTGAAGATAGGGATATGAGGATAAAAAAGACAAACATGAATGCCAGATGATTGCATTAGTCAATATAGGAATAGACTTTGTTCTTATCTGCATCGAAGTGTATGACCCTCCAATGCCTCTGGACAGAGTGGACAAAATAGTGATCGGATCACTTTCTTAGTGAGGAACGGACATACCCTTTGAATCAATAGCCTTGTAGAACATTATATACCTTTGTGAAACATCGCAGCCATCCTCACTCTAATCGCTCTATTGACCAGAACTTGCAAAATGACGCATTAAAATGGAGCGTCACCTACTACATTTCGCCTGATGAGCCAAGGATTACCCCAGCCAGTGTTAAATGGTAAACTGAGATAATATACGAGCCTTGTGATAATCTTGTCTTCGGGGAGAACGCCCTGTTGCAGTTGCCCAGGCATCTGCGACACTGTTTCACTGAACACGATGTGTCACCGAAGATCACCCGAGATCCTCGCTTCGATTGCATCATTGAGGCACTTTCAAGTTTTGACTGGCTCGTCGATCTGCGGCTGTGCTGACAGCCGATGCAGCTTTCAGCTATGCGGGGGTCAAATCTCCTTGCAATGATCTGACCACTGGAACACCAGGATTAAGCTGACACTGGCTTGGCAGGTGTAATCAGGGCCGAAAATACGAGGACGGACAATGACAGAAAGCTTTTCTCTTTATATCATAATTTTCTTCGCCACGTTCTTTATGAAACTGGCTTAGTTTTCATTGTTCAAGACAAAACTTTCGGCACAGCTAGCAGAATGTTTGAAGTAAGTCGGCTCAAGGAGTAACAGATTTAAATTCAGTACTGACGATATAATAGCTTCGTTCTGAGGGCAGCGATGTTCGGGTAGGAGAAGCCAGAGAGGGAGTGACAGACGGAGCTCAAGGGGGCACGCTGAGGTCTTCCCTCCCCGCGTTGCTAAGGAGCCCTGTTGGCCCTCTGCTCATAGCTGCTGGCCCTACAATTATCTACACGATATTGTGTTTAATTTTATTTTTTATTCTTCGTCGACGCCTACCGAGAATATACTCCCCAAAGAGCATCAATCCATTATATACGTAAGGAACCCCCTGGAAACCCCGAGGAATTTATTCTTACTATAATAGGTCTTCTACTTTTGCACTACCAAGTGGCTGGATCTCCTCCTTCCGTGCCCCAGACTCCTACGTTCTTGCGAAATGCTCTCTAGATGGGTTTCTGTTTCTGCGATATCTAAGAGTTCTATGTCTTATCTGCTTCGTTGGCATTGTCCTCACTTGGCCAATCATACTTCCAATACACGCGACAGGCTCAGACTTACCACTTCTTAATTCTTTGACCATAATGAATTTGGAGAACCCCGATCATCTCTTTGCTCATGTCGTCATATCCTGGGTATTTACTGGCGAGTTTCTTATCATATCTAGCCTGACAGGTTTGACTAACGCTAGATCCCAGTCTTTGTCCTATATATCCTATGGCGGGAACACCTTTACTACATCAACTTACGGCATTCCTACCTCTCACAATCAGGCTACTACGAGCGAAAAACATCCAGAACTATCCTTATAAGCTCCATTCCTGAACAATGTCTGAATGAAAAAGTATTCCAAAAGCTGTTTGGCCATTCGTTCGTTCAATGTTGGATACCTCGAGCCTCACGGCGATTGAAAAAACTAGTCAAGAAAAGGGAGAAAAGAGCGCAGCAATTACAAGACGAAGAAGTTGCCCAGATCAATGAAAACAACCGCGGAAGACCAGCTCGACTACTGTTCAGTTTCCCCAATTTCAACTGGATGAGACGAGCACGATCTAATGAGCCTGATGTGGAGAAGGTTAAACTTTTCCAAAAGACAGCTCCAACAATGAAAGACGTCGATATTCAGTCTAACGAAGTGCAAATCTCAATCAACGAACGTTCCACCTTTGCTTCTGAGCCGCCCAGCCCTGCAGTCGGAAAGATCAAGTCTACTCGATCGGATTTGCACATCCTCAACCAACAAATTGACAAATTACGCCAGGAATACCAAGCTGGCAAAGGAAAGCATATGAATGCAGCATTCATCGAATTCGACTCTTTTGCTAATGCCCAGGCCGCATTTCAATCAATTCACCAGCATCAACCATTTCAAATGTGCCGACAAGTCATTGGAGTCAAACCTGGTGAAATTGTCTGGAGCTGTCTTAGAATGAAATGGTGGGAGCGTCTTCTACGAGAATTCGTGGTGACGGTTTTGATCGGTGGATGTGTTGTCGTCTGGATCATGCCAATTGCCTTTGTAGAGTTCGTGACATCTTCACCAATGGTAGGCAGAGTGCCTGGCGTTTCAGAGCTTCCTCAACTAGCGGTCAATGCCATATCTGGCTTGGGACGAGCCCTCCTCATGTGGGCCTTACTCGAATTTGTCCCATCTCTCATGAGAGTATGTGCCAAGCTCGCAGGGGTCCCTACTCTAACCGCTATCGAACACTTCGTTCACAAAAGATACTTCATCTTCCAAACACTACAAATCTTTCTAGGCCCAATGATCCGACCTACGCCTGTTGGGTTTTTCAGCAACATCCCTTACTTAAATCAACAGGTGCCCAAGGCTTCTATCCTGTATATGTCATATATCTTGGTTCGGTGCCTATCGGCTGGTGCCACTGAGCTCATTCAGCTATGGCAACTATTTCTCAACATGACCCGAAGCAAGCGTCCCGGGACACCTCGAAAGACTTACGAGAGGGCTTTTGAACTCAATGTAGTCCATTGGGGCAGTGTTTATCCAGTCATGACAACTGTTGGGGTTATCGGCAAGTATCTCACGCAACAAAGATATCACATATCACTAACCTTCCGCAGCCATTAGCTATGCTTGCATTGCACCGCTCCTCCTTGTCTTCGCACTGATAGGTCTCGGATTTGTATACTTCGTTTATAAGTATACCTTGGTTCATATATATGATACCGAAACTCTGGATACGACTGGACGGTTTTACCCTCGAGCAATAATGCATATACTATTGGGGCTTTATTTAGTGCAAGCTTATCTTATTCAGCTGTTTCTCAGATATCGCGCGTGGGGTCAGTTTTCCCTTCTCGTGTTGCTGGCCATTTTTACTCTTTTCATACACCTATCCCTACGAAAAGCTATGAATCCTCGAATTGATAGCTTCAGCATGCTCGATCATGACGGCGCATCTGAGAAGGTACAGCTGGGCGAAGATACCGCGGCTAGACACATCGACCAATATGGATCACCCTCAAACATTGCGACCTCAACAAAGAGTCTGAGGGATCTCTCACCTTCAACTTTTAATAAGAGTCTTTGGAACACCGAGAAGAAAGCTAAACATCGTATGTGTGGAAGTTGGTTCCGCACAGCGGCCTTTGAGGATTTTCAATACGATATTTCACTAGACCATACCGAGGATGAGTTCATGGCCTTGTACGGGTCAAGTTGTTATCAGCCTCCAGAGACATGGCTTCCGAAACCAAAACTCTGGCTTCCTGAGCATAGTGCTACTAGCAACTACCTAGAAGCCCCAGATTTTGAAGAGCCTCTGTCAATATCGCACGATGGAGCCCAAGTAGATGAAAAAGGTCGCGTGAAGTTCAATATCGAGCTTGCTCCCTTTCATCATGATCTTTTGTCCTATCGTCATCTTCATCTTATACTATAGTTATACAACACAATGACATACAATTGAGTAGCGCCTATAAATATAAGCTTCTGCAGTCATTTAAACTGATTGAAAGACGTGAAATCTCTATATGCTAAATTCACTCTGCTGATTTATGCTCTCAGCCACAAGTCTCAGCTGCAAATAACACATCTAGCTCACAATCTGGACATTATGCATTGCAAACTGAACCTAGGATATCTAACCTCTTACGAGCAGTATTCTAAGTCCCTAACAGTGTCTTCGGTATCAAAAACAAGTCGGGAAGTTCAATCTTAAAGTACCTTAGTTGAGCATCATCTAAGCTCAGTTGGGCAATTTACACGACCAATTATCTCTATCTTCAGAAAACCTCATTAGTAGTACGCGACCTGATTCATAGCAGATAGCCATAGATGATTTAACGATGGCCGATAAGTGGGGTCGATAATTTAAAGGGAGCCGAAGTACGTTCTCCCCATATCTCATAATCCAGTCCCCATCGATATGGATATAGTGACGGGACCGATCAGAACCTGGGAAGGCAGTTACCCCAATTGAATTGACGCTAACCTCGGGCGTTGGCTTTGGTACGTCAAAGTTCAGATTCAGAATACCAATGTCCGTGTAGAGTCGAGAGTTTGTCCGTGAATCGAAAGATAGGTGATGGAGGTCTTTGTTGACCTCGATCATTAGCAGACATGTGTAATGTTCTAAATCCCAGATTCCAACGTCGCCATCATAAGAGCCAGATGCAAGATACTGTGAACCCACCGAGAAGGCTACTGATGATATCGACTGAGTATGTCCCTGTAGCATTCTGAAGTTGTATTCTCGGATCTTCCAGATCCGAATTATCCCGTCATCTAAGCCAGTTGCGAGATACTGACTGTCGGCGGAGAGAGCCACTGAGACCGCATGATCATTATGCTCAAATTCATGTAAGCATTTCCCCGTTACTGCATCCCACATCTTGGACCCTTTTCCACCTGATACGAGATATTGTCCATCTGCTGAGAAGGCCACTGAAGATACCGCCTCATCATCCTGAAGTGTATAAAGGCATGTAGCAGCCATAGTATCCCAGACTTTAATAGTCGAATCATATGAACATGAGGCTAAGCGCTTGCTATCCACAGAAAAGGCCACAAAGCTTACCGCCCCGCAATGGCCTTTAAGTGTATATAGGCATGTTCCTGTTTTGGTATCCCATACCTTTACAGTAGTATCAAGGGATCCTGATGCAACTCGCAAGCCATTTGCCGAAATTGCAATAGAGTACAAGCCATCATCATGGCCTTCAGCTATAAACGGGCATGCATCGATCGATACAGCCCAGATCCTGACTAATCCATCCTCAGAGCCTGATATAAGATACTTACCATCAGTCGTGAAGGCTACAGACTCTACCGGACCATCACAGCCCTTCAAAGTCTGCAGGACTGTTCCGGTTTCCGCATCTAAGAGTTTCAATGGCCCAGGCCCACCTAAAGCGAGAAGTTTACCATTCGCTGAGAAAGCTATTGCGGTCCCGAATCCCGAGGAGATATCCAGTATTGGCAGACTGGAGCCTGTGGCCACGTCCCAGATTTTGATCGTTCTATCCATGGACACTGACGAAAGACGCTTACTATCTGGCGAGAAGGCCACTGAGTATATCCTACCCTCGTGAGCCTGTAGCGTCTGTAGACATGAGAACGATTTAATATCCCAGATCTTGACCGTACAATCAGCGGATGCTGATACAAGATGCTGGTTATTTGGAGAGAAGGCTACTGAAGTAACCTGACCAGAGTGACCATCAAGAGTCCTTAGATATTCTCCCGTTTTTGGACTCCAGATCTTTATTGTCAGATCAAAAGATCCCGATGCAAGATACTGGCCATCTAGAGATGAAACCATCGAATTCACAAGTTGATCATGGCCCTCCATAGTCTTTAGACATAATCCTGTTTTTGTGTCCCATATCTTGATAATGTTTGAAGCCGATACGAGGCTTTGCCCATCTGGTAGGAAGTTGACAGAACAGACTGCATCATCATGACCTTCAAGAGTATGTAGACATACACCTGTTGTTATATCCCATATCTTGACCGTCTCATCAGCTCCGCCCGATGCAAGAAGCTGGTTGTCCGGTGAGACGGCCACTGAATTTACTGGACGACCATGACCCTCAAGGGTTTGTAGGCAATTATCCCAATTCTTATCCATTCTTGGCTTTAGAGCTATCCAGTCCGGCTCTTCATGCTGAAATAGCTCTCGAATGAGGCTGCATTCTGGACTAAAGACTAGTGCTGAGACATAGGCTTGCAAGGGGGCAATCGCGATCGAACTCTTATGAGTGAGGAAAAAACGGCGTGCATCTTGAAGCAAATTTTTCAGTGGGTCTGGCGCGCTGAATCTCTGGGTATGATTGTTAGATTACCTCCAAGATATGCTTTGAACAACTCACAGTAGCTAGATCTTCGAGCTTATATATTGCCTTTAACCCCTCTACTGTGCTGCTCAAGAGACTGAGAGCTTCTAGCCAGTATAAATACTTCTTTTGTATAAATACGTAGATATCACTGCCGCTTTGCAGTTTACTGTTGAGCCTGTTGGGCTCAGAGTCGTGGAGATGATCTACCCAATAGACACAAGAGTATCGAATGGGATACAGTGGCCCAAGGTCATCTGGTGAGATGTCATCAATGGCAAACCCTGGATGGCCGAGTCTGCAGATATCACGTCTCAGAGTCTCTGATAGTGTCTGCAATGACCTCTCGAAGATCAGTTCATGTTGATACGAAAGACCTGAAGGTGAAATCTGGTCTAACGCCTTTTTGACCAAGAAGTCTTTGGCCGACTGATGTAGGAAATAGATAGCATCTCCCCGAAGTGTTAAGAAAGAACCACAGCATCTAATGACTTCTTGGAGGTCGCCATCTTCATCCTCGTACTCGGACCCCAGAAGAGTTTCCAACTCAGCCAACGTAACGGGTCGATACACCACAGAAGCAAGAGCCAGTATCTCTCTACATAGCTCAGCATCTGGTAAAGATGAGATATATTCCATCATTCTTCCGTACAGGGGGTCAAGCCCCTTTGGTAATGCCTCCAGCCTCTCGCGGGTGTGGCATTTGCGAAGCACCTTGCCATCTGCAAGCTCTTGACAAACCAAAGCGACCCATAGGAACGTGCCATCAGCATTCTCAACTAAATAGCTCTTGACGTCGCTTTTGAGTTTCGCATCGTATTTCTTTTTTTTAGACAACGCCTCCACCTTCCATTCGATGAATGCCTCAACGGCCTTGGAAACTGAATCTTGATTTAACTCAAGATGCAGTCTGACTTTCTGCGTGGAACGATCCAGCACCTGTTCGATTTCCGGCCAGTTGCGGCTAGTCACGATCCACTTGACAGTGCTAGACCTGATTATCAATTCAAGAAGCTTCTCTTGGTCCGTGATACACTCATCAAGAGCATCAACAATCAGGAGTACGCCATCTAGTAGTGGGTCCTCAAGCATTGCCGTGAAGATCTTGGATAGAGCTTGCCATGCATTCCCATCCTCAAAGAGCTGCTTTCCTGCATGAGCATACTTCTCCTCGATGTATGTGACAAGCGGAGGTCGCTGAAGAACAAGAAGGTAGATAAGACCACGGAGCACGGCTGTCGCGTTACTTAACCGTGCTTCAGTAGCTTGGCAAAAGAAGTAGGATAAGAGACTGATGTGTTTTTCCTTAAGCTCATTGATGAGTCCACATAGTAACATTGTTTTTCCCTTGCCAGGGTCACCTTTGATCCAGAAAAGCTGGCTCCGTGAAGCGTTATACCATTCTTGGAATTTGTCATTCTCGAGAATCCAGCGGTATGCATCTTCAAATAGCCCGTCTTTTGTTTGTTCGATACGACTCTTATCATCACGAGGATCAGTCTCGCGCAGATCCCGCAAACATTCGTTGTACTTTTCGTCCTGAAGCCACTGATCCTGCTGCCCAACACTCTCCGGTGTGCTTGCAGTGATTACTTCTGTAGGAGGAAGCTTTTCGACAAATTCCCTTGCATATGCGGCAGCGGTGGCAGCGGCATATTCTTGCCACTCCTTGCTCTTATGAGAGTCAGAATAATCGCATATTCCCCGCACCGATAGAGAGGGACAAATATCGTTCAGGCCAGCTGCTTCCATTTCGAAGCAAATGGCCTTCAATTCCTGGGCGACCTTATCGCGAACTGTCGAGCTTCTCATAACTTGATTGCCTGAGGCGATAGTACCATAATAGATGTATGGATTATCTGTACTCCGCTCGCTTCTCCGTACCAGTGCAGAAGGGCTGCATTTGTCGCAGGTTGGTGCCCGAGAGTTATGTCGATATGCGGAAGAGAAGAGACGATCTGCTGTAGTTGGTCGGGCGTAGGCTGGATACTCTCTGAACCTTTCTTCTAATATGAGGGGAATCCGGCTGCTAAGCGGTTGATGCTCCGCTTGTAGAATCGATAAAGCTTTGCCAATCGAATGAGCCAAAGTCCTCGGGACTGCAGTATGTTGAATTTGGCCTCCTTCGGTTATCTTGCCGAGATCGTGCTGCACCACGCGGGTACCAACAACAATATCACCTAAACGAATGTCAAAGTCTTCACCCGGGACCCCGCCTCCAATCCCGACCATGAGACTAAGATAAATCGATGTAAACGTGCGGGTAAGATTAGTCAACACGTTTACCGCATTGTTTGTTCCATACTCATTAGTTGGCAAACACGCGATAGCGATATTGTGGCACCCTATGCTGCCAAGTATGTACGAATTGGTGTCGTTTTTCTGCTTGGGCAACGGTTCGTGGACATTATCCAGCACAGCTCGAGCTGCAGTCAATTCCTTTGGTAGTGCACAGATCCAGGCGATCGTATATTGTTCATACGAAGCACGAGATGTCTTTTGCGACTTGTGCTCTCTATGGTCTGAAGCAGACCTCAGGGTCAAGCGTCGTTTCTGAGGCTGATGAGCCATGATGCCAGGGAGGACCGAGCACTAAGAACGTGTAGGCTCTTTGCGCCGGAGCGCTGTTCAATGATATGAACAGAGGTTTCTTGCACACGTTACTAGAAGGTTAGGGCGTGATGGAGTCGTAGAATTTGGTACAAAATGATCAATTTGAAGCGAGATGTCGAGCGAAAAGGCGGAGGAAGAGGGGAATCTGCATGTCTTAGAGGCACAGCCACCACCTGATTTTTGAGGCCCCCAAGAATAATGGTGGAGCTGATAGGCTCACACTGGTACCCCTGTAAGTGACTCAAGGTAGATCCTTATACATAAGGCTGACTGACTGTTGAAGTCCATGTCATCTGCTAATTGTTACGGATGATACAATATTTACGCTGAGCGCTTGAGAGAGAGTACATAATGCATATTTGAGTGACTTCTCTGCACCCTTGAAATATCGGATTAGCAATGAGGTGAGTCTGGCAAGTACGCATTGTTGGCTGTCGAAGTTACCAAAAAGCGGCAATTATATCTCGGAGAACCTCATTCAGTTCCTCTTATCAGCCTTGTGCCGTAGAAATTGATCAAACACCTTAATATAATGTCTAAGTTGTGAGTTAGATGTGTTATTCGCAGTTGAGACTTGTGGCCAAGAGACTATTCCGGCAGACAGAACTTAGAACCCTTTTCAGGCCCTCAATGTCATGATTTACAGGCGCTCCAGTGGAAATAGGAAACGTGACGCGATCTTCGATATATTCAAATCTCTCCCCTAAAACAGTTCCAAACCCTCAAGTTCTTGATTAAACTATGTCGAGATATTGAGTTGCGCCACAGCTTCCTGACCTCCCCGAATGCCCGACCTCACAGCTCCGTCCATGTACCCCCTCCAAACTGAAGCCGTCTCCGTTCCAACAAAATGAATGTTCCCAAACGGCTCAGCGATACTATTTCCAGAGTCACCCGCCAAGAACCCAGGTCTCCAAACAGGACCAGGTCCACCTTGAGCCCAAGGATCCTTCGTCCAATCTTTCTCAATGACATTGATAGGCTCGGGTACAGTATCCACGACAGTGCCAAATGCAGCGCGGATGTCCTGTAAAACAACCTTCTTTCGTGCTTCAGTTGGCAGTTTTGACCACTTCCTCCCTGGATCGCCAGCGTGAAAGCAAGTTATGCTGTATTGACCATCTTGAGGAACGCAAGTGTCGTGCGTGAAGACGACTGGACCGTCGGCGGAGCTATATACGCCTGAGAGACCTGCGGAATGCCACCATGGCTCTGTATATACAAGAACCGTTTTGGTGTAATATCCTGACTTGGCAGACTCGCTGAGTGCCTTCTTGGCTGGTGGAAGACTTGGATCGAAGTGGATGAGAGGGTACAATGGTGTTGGCACTGAAACGATTACCTTGTCTGCTCTGTAGACATCGCCGTGAATAGTCTCGACTACGCAGCCCTCGCCATCCTTCTGCTTAATGGCCTTAACAGCGCTTGAGACCTTCACGCTTCCTGCGTTTAGACCAGCAGCAAGGCGATCACAGAATGATTGATTGCCTATCCATATCGTCAGTCAAATCCCAGTCAAATTCCAGCCAAATCCCAGCCAAATCGTTGCCAAAGCTTACCCTGTCGATTACGAAGATACTGAGCTCCATCCTTAAAGTCAGATATAACATTCTTCAGACCGGTTCCTCGTTTCAATATGTCGAGAAAGAACAGAGCGCTGGGTTCATCGCTTTCCACGCCGAGTAAGCTGCGAGTGATGCTGTTGACGAGGGCTGAAGCACCAGGATCATTAAATCCTGCGATGAACTCGGCGACGGTGATGGAATCAAGTTGCGTTGCGTCTGGTCCGTCGGAAGGATTGCCGGTGTCGCATTTCTCAGCATACTCGGAAAGGAGCTGCATGAATTGGTCGACTTCCTTCAGTTGTTCCGGCTCAAGCTAGGCATGGTCAGACTGGCTCATCAGAGTGACACGACAAACTCACATTTGCTGGCATCTCAAAAGGGATGCAATGAACCTCTCCCTTTTCATCTCTGTACAGACTACGCCCCTCTGTACGCTGCTCAACAAGATCGAAGCCAAACTCTTTGGCCAACTTGTAAATCTCGCTCTGGCTTGTATCGTTGATCCATGAAGCGCCTAGGTCGACAATTCCATTGTCTTCAGAGACCTGAACGGACAATGTCTTGCCTCCGACACGGTCCATGGCTTCAAGGACGATATAAGACAGACCGGCATTGTGGACTTCCCTTGCAGCTCGGAGACCGCTCAGTCCGGCACCAACAATAACGACTTGGAAGGCTTGTGTCATTTTTCAAGGGTGTATACTTGGATGAGATGTGATTAACAGTTTGTGTCTTTTGGATGGAAAATACTCAGTCTTTTATAGATATCATGGCCGTTCTACCGTGAACTTGAGAGTTTCATCATGTTATCGAGCCGCTATCGTGTGAACCTCGTTGGTTCCTGATCAACCCACAGTGATCTCCATCGTCTAACCCTCCTTGGCTTAGCTCGCCATGTCCGCCAATGAAGGCAAAGAAATCTTCCCCGCAGCGCGGCTCGATAAGATAAGAACTCTCTAGACCCATGTTCCACTCATTGGTCGCTGGACTAACAACTTTCTCCCTTCTGTTCTTAGATTCTCCTCCCAACGTTCTTGCATTTTTGGAGGAGTATTACGGCTCAGCCACTCTCTATTGGATGATGGACATGACTCAAGCTCCCTCATCCCGGGCAGCTCCTCGATATCCGACGACATTCCGAGTCTGGCAACGTCGCACCAAAACGGGATGCCTTACTTGCCGTTCAAGAAAGAAGAAGTGCGACGAAACCAAGCCGCAGTGCAGTGCCTGTCGAAGAAATGGACTAGGCTGTAGCTGGCTTCAAGATAAGCAAACCGCAGCGCTTCAGTTACAGCCCAGAAGTGAAACGTTTGCCCACCCAAACCACAACAATCGGCTCCTTGGCAGCAAAGCATGTAGCCTTACCAACGTTTCATTGCTCCTATTACAACATTACACTTTTGAGACAGCTGTGATATTGCCAGCGGGGAAGCCCTCTATAAATCCATTTATCTCTTTTGTTCTCCCTCCCGCCGAGGCCGACGATGTAATTATGCACTCAGTCCTTGCTGTCAGCGGTGCACATTTGTCGTTCAGACTACAAGATGCGACGGATGTGGAGATGGCGACACTAAATCACTATATACTTGCCATACGTGGTGTTCAAGAAGTCATCGGCGCCGGCCAAGTCATTGATAAATCTGATGTTCTCCGCCTATTGTTAGCTATCTCATTCTTATCACAATACGAGGTCAGTTTCATAAATGATGGAGACTTTGAACAAACAATAACAAAATGCTAGATTTTGATGAGCACACCGAATCCTAACTTATACCTTCACCTGAAGGCCAATCGCCATCTCTTTCTACATCTCCTCGGCCTTGGATACAGGCCTCCGCTCGACTTACAAGAATTCGATATGATGTTGAGCTTCGCATATGAAGGGTTCATATTTCTCGCTTCCTGCAACACAACTCCATCGATTGGGGATGACGAGTTATTATGTGAATCAATTACCGACCACCTTCGCCCATTGACAAATTCACCATGTTTTGGTTCCATGCTGGCCGGTTCACATTCGTTATTCGAAATGATCCCACTTATACAAAGGCTGTGCTCATCACGTTTAACGTTTGAGTCACTGGGCTTAGAAAACTTGCCCCCCGAACTTTGGGTAACCTATGAGATGTTGCGAGATACTATTCAGTCTTGGACGATAGCCGAAGCAAGCTCGGAACGGATAATGGCCAGTGACGTAATGCGCACCGCGTTGGCAATCTTTCTAGACTGCGCTATAACGAGATACGAGCAGTTAGACCACGGGAGTATTGAGACATCGGCCAAGTTTGTGATTGACACAGCTGTGCAACTCGAGAACTCATCATATGCAACCCATATCGTTTGGGCGCTGACTGTCGCTGGATCTTCACTCACCGATAAGTTCTATCACAGAAAGCTTGTCGAATTTCTCAGCAGGTCGCGTTACAAGATGCGACATCTAGAAGTCCTGCAGCAAAGTCTTTACTTGTTCTGGGCTGAAATGAACCCAGCGATATTTGGACCATTTGAGTTTCAAGTATTGATGGAGAATCATGGAACGTCTCTGTCAATTATGTAATTGCTAGACCCAGCAACGAACTAATTAGCTTTAATTCAATCTTGTTGTCAGTAGTATCCTGTGTTCTTTACCTTTGTCTCAGGGGTTGAAACCTTTTACATGTCTCAACATTATAGGCTACTGGCTGGCACTGGTCTCAATGGAAGCTGTTGGCCATGGTTCCCATGCCATAGCTTGTCTATTTATTCATGTAAGCGTCGAAATGCGACAATCACTTGCCGGATAGTCTGCCGTCGATTAATTACGGTAGGCTCTATTTTAGCTCTACCTTAGTGATGGATTTATTCAACATTATCTGTTCCGCTCCTCGCTATCTTGTCTTGATAGCAAGATAGACTCCTGGCTACTCATTGGCTTCGCTGTGTTATAGCGCGGGTCAGAGCGACTGGGATACTGGAGCGTAAGTATGAGCACGCTAAATGGCTTGAGTCAGGGACCAATGTCACCCCGAATCCGGACATACTTAGCTTGTCCTTCCCCACAAAGCCAGCTCTGACCATGCTCCTGCGTACTCTCGTATGACGATTCTTTTCACGACGATCCAGCATAGTCAAACCAATTAACAAGAGTTAAAATCCGGTTCCAGTTGCGTATCTAGGAAGCTCAAGATGCCCAGCGGAGCTCGATCACGCAGCGGATGCGCCGCATGCAAGTCCCAAAGGGTAAATACAGTGACGATACACCTGACAACAATGCACAAATGCGCTGACAGATTCATCATGACAGTTGAAGTGCGATGAAACTTGGCCGTCTTGCGGAAGATGTACCCGCCTCGACATGAATTGTTCTGGACCCATTATCCGCCTGAGATGGTCGCAAAAACACCAAGCACGTCCTGATAATAGAATCCAAAAGCGAACAACACATACGAGACAGAATCTACAGCCTTCGACAGCCAGGCACTCTACCATTACAGATCAGCCGGAAGCTACCTTCCTGGATTCAAATTTCCCTTCGTTATTTAATACTACTGCTGTGGATGGAAATCATGTCCTTTCTCCCACCCACGGTGGCGACGGCTGGATCGATGAAGTGTTTGGAGACATGATGCCGGAGCTCGTGTCATTTGGTCTCATACCGAATGCGAGCACGACATTAGTCCAAACGCCAGAACTGCTGCAGATGGCAGATGATTTCGGCGCAACAACTGAGACTGCGGGGATGAGCCCAAAGGCGCCACCACAGCAAGAGTGCGAGGTTTCAGCATCGCCCGTCGCCTTATTACCGATTGATACGAATCGACCGCAGACCGTCTCATCTCTACCAGTACAGGTCACGGAGACACCGCAACCTTACACTTCAACAGTTGTCGATCGACCCATAAACGATTACAGTACCATTCTCGTGGAGTACTACTTCAAAGACACAGCCGCTATACTCGCCCTATACGACAGCGAGATGAACCCATTCAGATCAACAGTCTCTCGCATATGGACATCCTCGGAGCTGATGTACTGTACACTTCAAAGCATGGCTGCGTCTTTTCTCTCAAATGTCTATCCTCAGTTGCTGAATACCGGACTTTACTTTCGACAAAAGGCTATCCGTCTTCTTAATGACCTTGATGACTCTGCGATCCATGAACAGGCGCTTATTGCGTTGTTCATGATTGGTGGAACAGCTAGTTGGTTCGATGTTAACGATACTGGTTCCGAGTACTTCCCCCGGCTTAAGAAATATGTACAGAGTCTCAAGACTTCGGGGCGTATGTCACCGACAGGACATAGTCAAGCATTTTTTGAGAATACCCTGGCTTGCTGGGAAATGTTCCTGGCCTTTGTGGTCGATAGCGATGAGACTGATGTTTTTGATTTACCGCATCTACCGCTGTTGTAAGTTCACCTGGTAACTACGACTGAATGGTTTCTAACTCGATCAGACCGGCAGATCCTCAACCAGGACCTGGATCAATATTCCCCGTGGTCCAGATCCCCCATCCTGTAACTGGAGTTGCTCATGAGATCCATACTACTCTCGCAAGAGTCGGTCGCTTGGTCAGAAGAAACCGCCGTCGCGCCATGTCCAAGCAATTCCTCACACGCGAATTTATCTTGGAGGCACATCGCGAGGTTGACGAAGCAGCGAAATTAGAGATGTTTCTCACCAACCTACAAGTTCCGTTAGAGTCCGCTATAGTGCAGACGGGAGACTCACGAACACCGACATGGCATCTCACAGCTCTAGCAGAAGTTTATCGCTTTGTTGGCCTTCTTCAGCTGTACCATGTCTTCCCCGATACTCTTGTATCGAGGATGAACCTACAGAACTCGAATGCAGGGGCTGAAGTATCTGCACACGAAGCGGAGGAGCGGCTAAGACAATTCACTCTCAAGGCCGTCGAAATCCTGCGCTCCATACCAGCTGAATCTGGGACCAAGGACTTTCATCCTTTTCTGATCGTCGCAGTCTGCAGTGGACTCACGATTCCCGTTGTTGATGTGTCAGTTTCTCCACAGAGCCTGGCGGGCTTGGGGAATTCGTTAGCTCTAGTGGCGGCTGATGTGCATCGGGCGCGAGGATTCTTGAGGGGCCGACTCCAGCTGCTTTTGCACTCTCTCCCCAAGAACCCGATTCAGCGATGCATTGACATTGTTGAAGCGACTTGGGCCGAGACAGATAATCGGCATGGGAGTGTAGGACGACCTGCGTACTGGATGGATGTGATGATGCAGAATAACTGGGAGACTTTTATGGCGTGACAAAAGAGAGCAGTCACTGTCATCAATTACCTTCGCATGGAGATGCTAAAGGCCTCAATTGACAGATGTCTCAATCGCTTATTCTAACTGTAATCGGCACGGGATGTTACACGAGAAAGCAGCGTGATTATCCTGCCCACAAATCATCTTTGCAGTTGAGGGATCTAGTGTAAGACAGAGGGTGACTAGCCTGGAATGTCCTCTTTTAGTAGGTCGTTACGATTGTGCTCCGCTATACGAGTCGCCCAGTCACAACTCACATGCTTATCGACTCAGGCGCTTTTTCGATGTTGGGCCAAGAAAATGATCACCCATGACCATAAATAAGGCTCTTCTCAATTCGGGGAAAGAAGTAGAAGTCTAAGTAAGCCGAATTAGTCAACGATAATGAGATTCGACCATTTACTTCCGGTTTTCACCCTCGCTGGGCTGGCTCTTGGCTGCAATCACCATCACGACGATAAGAAATGGACTGCTGAAGAGTTGGCCGAGCTTGAGGCAAAATGGGGCTTCGATGTAAGTTCGTTCTTCTGATTGTCCCCTAGATATTGTGACTGACAATCATATAGTGGGCATTCGGCGGCATTGGCACATTCGCGCACCTTAATCACGTCAAATGCCTTACAGAGCCCACCGAACCTTACGACATCGCTATCATCGGCGCTCCATTCGACACCGCTGTCACGTATCGACCCGGCGCACGATTTGGTCCACGAAGTATTCGACATGCCTCAGGCCGCCAACACTCTCTCCGCGGGTACAATCCTCGAGCAGACATCAATCCATACCAAAACTGGGCCAAGATTGTGGACTGCGGAGATATCCCTATAACGCCTATCGATAATGATATAGCCCAGAAGCAGATGACGCAGGCCCTGGAGCAATTGGGAATGCGCAGGACCGTGTCGTCTATTTCCTCCAAGCCCAAGCTGTTCACGCTCGGTGGCGATCATAGCTTGACTTTGCCGGCCCTTAGGGCATTGAAGAAGGTCTACGGAGATCGCGGGATTCAAGTCCTGCATTTCGATGGTACCTAAGCCCACCGAAATTTACAGATTTCTTGCTAACATACCTGTAGCTCACTTTGACACTTGGAACCCTCACGCATATCCCTCTTACTGGGGAACAACACCTTTCAACCATGGATCCATGTTCTGGTTAGCCAACCAAGAAGGGCTGCTCTCCAACTCATCATCACATCCTTCCGTGCACGCGGGCTTGCGAACACGACTCACAGGCATCCAAGACAACGAAGACGACACTGCACAGAACTGGATTCGTTTTTCAGCTGACGATATCGACAAAATTGGTACTCAAGGCATCATCGATGGTATCATGAAGATTCTAGGCACTGAGAACTTGGTATACTTGTCGGTGGATATTGACGTCCTCGACCCAGCTTTTGCTCCAGGAACAGGCACGCCCGAGCCAGGTGGTTGGTCTACCAGGGAGTTTATAAACATCCTTAGAGGCATCGAGGGTCTAAACTTGGTTGGCGCTGATGTAGTGGAGGTTTCGCCTGTTTATCAAGGAGCGGGCGAAGAGACGACCTTCGCGGCTGCGCAAGTAGTTTATGAGATCTTGACGTCCATGGTCAAGAGAGGATTACAGGATCTGGGAAGGTCGGAGAAGTCTAGTAAGGATGAGCTGTAGTTATGTCTGTTCAACTCATTGTCATCACAAAACAAGAATGGGGAGAAATACGGGTCAATCTCACACAACATCCAATAATAGACTGAACGAGGACAGCTATCCTGATCTGTGTTTCGTGAACAACGGTCGGCTTACAGACGAGGATCACTCAGTGACCAAGTAGACGTTCCATCCCGCGCCACGGTTTCCCAACAACCAAAGACAGGCTGAAATAAACCAATGAAACCTTCAGTTTCGTGATCATGAGACCATCCAGATGCCCCAACCATGCTTGTAGGATGTGGCTCTGTGGTTGCACTATCATGGACAAAGTCAAGCGCATCAGTGTTAGCCTGGGCAGCAAGAAACGCAAGTGAATCCAGAAACCCCATCCCTACAGGCATAACTATTTGTTTGACGTTTCCGATACTCGAATAATTGTCGAATTTTGCATGCCCTTTGTTATCGAAAGTTTGCCGTGCCTTCGTAAACTGTATAGTTTGCAGAATATTGTTCGTCTTCGAAACCGTGGCGTGTACATTGACGACCTCTTCATCGCGGCCAATACCCATGGAAACACAAGTACCCTGTTTTCCCCCGGTATCAAGGTGATCATCACCGTAGTGCAACTGCAAGCCAACAACTTTCCTAGTTCCACCACTCTCAGTGTGATAACAAACAATCCGGCTGAGCTTCCGCCCATCTTTAAAGAACGAACTCGCATCGAAGCGCGTGGTTTCCGGCCTGATACCACTCCAAAGCCATCGAGGATACTCCAGGTGCTGGTAGTACTGGACGTGGCCTATATAACCCGGGTTGTATCGCTCCCAGAGACGAGTAGGTGCAAGGATTTTGTCAAGTTCCACTCCGTACTGGGTATTGATATCATAGTTGAGTTGCTCGTACAGTTTGGCTTTGCTGGTATCGGATAGTGCTCAATCAGACGAAATGCTAAGTTTGGAATTGGCACGCTTGTCTTCCACCTCATGGTATGTAGACCCATTCATATATTTCCATTCTTCATGGGTGATTTCCTTCTTCCTCTTCTCGACGCATTGAGTTCTTGCGTTGGTGACTGCAGCTTTAAAATCACTGATTGCCTTTGCAAGGTTCTTTTCGTATTTGGCCTTTGACGAATCTGTGCCGTCTATCTCCATGCAGTATTTGCAGCGAATCCAAAGCGCAGAGATGTACAGCGTACCGAATGGGATAATAAAGGGAAGGCAGTACCAAGGTGATTCGTTCTCGATAAATGAAGGCGCCTCGAGGCATAGAAAGGTGAGGGTTGAGTGAAAGTTCTTGGCCTGGCTAAGTGGCGGCTGGTCCGTCCAGTTCTTCAGTACGAGGTAGATACCGTGAAGTTTCTGCCTCATCATAGTGGCATCATGCTGTTGGATCTTTTCGTCCACAAGAGCTTCCACTTTGCCCTTGATGCTGTCCCAAATATCTGAGCCGCCTGGCCAGAAGGCATCCAGCAAGCCCGAGAGCAATGAGCCAATAATAGGCACCTCGCTCAGAGCCGAGCAGATGACAACCTTGGTCACTTCATCGACGTTTTCTGAGTTAATGTTCTCATCAGGGAGATATAGCCCTGGTGTACTCACAGATACCGTCCTAAGGACATCGTGTGTTGTTTTGAGATTGTCGTTAAATTCGTCAGATATCATCTTGTCTGCCGTCGAAGACGTGAGCTAAAATAGATAAAATAAAGTAAGTTCTAGGGATGCATCAGGCTAAGGACAATATAAATCCTCGATAGTTATCTGTACCAGACATCACTAATAATATAACCTTTATGCTTATAGTTAGAAATCTTTTCTGGCGTCTAGATCTCTCTAAACCTTACTGTGGCTTCATGCATAAATAGGTCGAGACTCTGTTAGTGCCAAGTATAGAATGTCCACTGGCCTACGAGATACTTCAAAATCAGCCGTAGTGCCATGATCCCGCCGTAGCTAACTGTGTAGACTCTGCAAACCGTTCGAGACTCTATTAGTGCTGCAGTAAAGTTACCAAAGCCCCGATAATTTTCGGTCATAACCCCGCTTTCCTCATTAATAAGTCGATGGATGAATTTCTGGCTGTAGTGTGGACTTTTCCCCTGTGTCATATCTTTATTTACTTCATGATATTGGGTCTTTTCCTGAGAAACGGTGTCTCAGGGTAACTCTAATTACCCATTGCTATATAAGCATACTGGAGGCCTGCCGCCTGGAATTATGAGCTCGTGAGAACGAAGAAACGGCTATTGAAGGTTGTTACAGGGTAGGCATTATCTTTGAGACCCTGGCGAACATGACTTGAACGATAACAACACTAGACCAGGCTTAAGGCGGCTTATCATGTTCAGTACCCTTGAAGCACACTGAGTGCCGCAGGAGGTCTCTGGCCTAGATTGTTGCCACCTGGTGAGCCAACAGACCAACAAAATCTGATCGCCATGAGAATTACCCCTTCTAGCTAACCTTGGCGGTCCCGCATTTCCAGTAGCGTAAGCGGTCCAAGCCCCGCTTCCTCGCGATCCCTGTAAAGCATATCACAAGTCTTACTCCATCTGGCAAAACGAAGCTAGTCTGCGCATTAGGCGAATGCCTCAAGGTCAAGTGAGTCGACGGAAGGCCAAGCTGATCAATCTGCATGAGCTGAAAAGATAGCACGTACGAGCGAGACGACGCCCACGACCGACTAGCCAGGCCTATCCTACTTGGCGTGACGCATATCTTCAACCAGCATCAGACGAACGTGTCATTGGCAAACGAGTTGCATCAACTAAACGAACGCTTATCATAGTGGCTAACCTCACATGCCCTCATTTTCACGGTAAAGACTCAACATAAGACTTATAATGGATCTCGGACTAGGTCTCCAAGGTGATGTAGTGGTGGTGACAGGCGCAGGGGGGCAAATAGGCCAGGTCATCGTCGAAGCATTTCTGAGCGCTGGCTGTTTCGTTGGGGGCTTCGATATTGACAAGTCCAAGTTTGTGAAGCAACACCAGAATCTGTTCTGGATTGCTGTCGATACCACCGATGAGGAGGGCATGATTGCCGCGTGGAAGAGCGTCGAGGAACGGTTCAAAGCGACTCCTACACTCTGTGTCTGCGCAGCCGCAGTTGATCTGAGCTTCATTGAGCATCATTCATCTATAACGAAGATGCCGACTAGCCAATTTCGCAGAACTCTTGATATAGTACGTTCCAGTCATTGCTACTCTGTGAGAAGTGTTTCTAAATATCTTATAGAATACAACCGGAACATTTATAACGGCAAAGTTATGGCTCCAACACGTGGAGAACATGGTTAAGAATAGTAGTCCAACGGCCAACGGCCTAAATGGCTCGCAATCGTCATCAGGGATACCACCGAATGGACAAAAAAAGAATATCTCGTTGATAATTATCGGCTCAGAGGCTGGAGATTTTGGAGTCGCCGGCAACCCAGACTACGCAGCAAGTAAAGCTGCAGTACAATTCGGTCTCGTCCTATCCCTAGCACCAGACGCTGCACGCATCCACCCATCGGCAAGAGTCAACTCTATTTCCCCTGGAGCTGTTGACACCAAGAGATTCAGCACAGAGTGCGAAGAGGACAGCTCTGGTGCGCTCCGGTGGATCGAGTCCGAGGCGACTGTCGCTCAGAAGAAGGCAGTGGATGTCGAGGGCATTGCCAAGATGTGTCTGGTGCTGGCGAGTGAGAAGTGGTCACCCTCAGTCACTGGTCAGAATGTGAGGCTGAATGGTGGGAAAAGTGGAAGGCTTTTCTGGAACCAGAACGGTGATGCCTTGTGGTGATGCTTGATAGCCTAATATGTCATAAATGTGCCCCCAAACAGTCGGCAAGAACTGCAAGGAATTAGATGCCTTTAGTGAAGGGTTAAGACTTAAAAGAGTATCCTGAAAGGTTTACTTAAGCGTCTCCACGCACAGGTCAGATTGAACGCATTTCAAGTGTCACAAGAGAGCCGCTCACGGTAGTAGAGAAAATAACATTGCAGACTCGTTTCCAACGCTACGTCACCGGATCTATGAGCTAGCCGTCCTTGCCTTCCAAGCCTTTGCTACATCTGTCATACACTCAAAAGTAATTTCCCCTTCAGTAGCGCTACCTGCCTTTGCCTTGAGTTTGGCGACAAACTTGTCAATCATCACAATAACATGAGATCTACCAGCGCACTCAGGATGCAGAATAAGCGGGAAGATAGACCCGTATCCAGGACCAGGTCCTTCATCCACAAAGCTCTCATTCTCCCACAACCATTCAAATCGATCTAGCCACATCTTCTCTATGACATCGGTACTCACGTAGCCTTGGGTCGTTGCTGAGTGCGGGTAGTAGCATAGAGGGGTAGCGTCCTCGGTGTACCAACTACCAGGAATTTCTACAAGGGGCGTTTCCGCCTCCTGTGATCCAGGCTCGGGTTGCTCCGTCAAAGCTATTGGCTTCATCCATGTACTTGCAGGTTGACCGTAGTCTGGGATTGCCGGCTTGCCTTCTGCGAATGTCCTGGGGAGGAAGTAAGGCAGACTGTCGTGTGAATTGAGGCTGGCGTCGTAGAGAAACCCGTGATCTTCCAAGAGGCGGACTGTTGACTCCCTGATCTCGTACAGGGGAGCTCGGTATCCAACAGGCTTCTTGCCCTGGCAGAGCGAAGTGGCTAGTTCGATGCACTTCACCAGTATGTCACGTTCTTGTTGCTCAGACAAGGAGTATGCACCCTCGTGACTATAGCCATGGAGGCCAATCTCAGCGCCGCTTGCAACAATGGCTTGGGTCTGTTTGGGGTAGCTTTCCATCGAGTGGCCAGGAATGAACCATGAAACTTGCTGCGATATGCCATGTTTGCCGAATACCCTCAAAAGTCTATCGACACCGACGTTGCCGCCAAAGTGGGCAGCTGAGTAGTCCGCCAGCTTGTTCTCTGGAACATGGCCCGTTCCTATCAGCCCCGAGACCGCGTCAAAGTCAACAGAGAGACAGATTCTCAATCTTCGACGTTTCTGAGGAGGACTTGCAGGGGTTGGTAAGGTCACTCTATGAGTCAAAGAGTCGTTGGCGACTTTGGTCTGAAGCTCATCTTGCGTCTCCCTCCATAGCAAGCGCCCCTCCTGTCCTCCATCGACAGATATACACTGGCCCGTGATATGGCCCGCAGCCCTATGAGATGCCAAGAACGCCATGCAACGAGCTGCATCACTAGGCTCAGCGATCTTACGAAGCGCGACAGTTGCTTCTGCTTCAGCCCATCTCTCCTTCGGGTCATCTAGCCGGTCTCCAATTAATGGAGTGTTGATCCATCCAGGCGCGACAGCATTGATACGACCTTTGGAATTGAGCTTGACGATCTCGTTCTTAACGGTTTTTACAAGGCCATATTGGAGACCTGCTTTGCCCGACGCATATTCAGCGTGACCAGCCTGCCCAAAGACGCCTGTTTCGGAGCCGGTGACTACGATGGCGACGTTGTCTAGCTCCTTGCTCGATGCTTCTTGCGCTTGCTTTACGGAGCGAAGAAAGTGCTTGATGGTGAGAAAGGTTCCTCTCACATTGACGGAGTAGACTGCATCCCATCTCTCAGTATCAATATCCCAGATCGATGGATGACTGCTCTCGTCTGTGATGCCAGCATTGGCGATAAGGATTTGGACTGGGCCGAACTTGCTGCTGGCTTCTCCAAAGGCCTGCGCAATGGATGATTCAGTTCTCAAATCACCCAGCACATGGTGCAGTCTTGTCTTTTGCTCCTCCGAGATTGATAGGGCCTCGATGTCCAGCGGGTTCCTATCGAAAGAGGTGACATAGCATCCGTTGGCTGGTGGCAAATATTAGTCAGAGTGAACGGGTTTGACCTTTGCTCATCGAGAACTTACCAAGGAATTCCTTGACAGCAGCTCCGCCGACCCCTCCAGCCGCTCCAGTGACAAACACATGGCAGCTCTCGAGGCCAAGAAAAGTTGACGTTAAAACCTGCAGAGACATTTTCAGAGCCTAGCAATGCTGACAAGCGAGCAGTCAGTTCGTTTTTCTGTTGACCGGCCAAGTGTCTTCGAATACACTTGAGCTGTAGATATGCTGCCAAAGAGGGGAGAAGGAATATGCTACCTGCTCTGTTACGTCAGATGTCCTCTATAACCACTGCCCTTTCTCGCTGGAACCCGATTAACCTTCGAGTTTGGTAGCCTGATTTGGAAAGACGGGGCGGTTAAGACATACCCTCGGGGTCATTCTATCAACCACCAACCATCAGCGAACTTCCCCGCGTTGCCTTGGCTTGGGGATCCTTTCACTGGGGAAGCATGGTTCGATATGTCGGCAATAGATAAGGCCAATCCTATACTAGTAATTCCTGGCTAGACGTAGTTTTAGAGCCATGGTACCTTAGACATCAGAGACCCAGACCACGGTATGTGCCTATAATCGTTGAAGGCCCTTATCGCTGGTATTGCACCCCTGTCCTACCATTTCGAGACTTCTGTAGAGGTGTCGTAGTAAGGCTATAGATAAGACCGTGTTTTGAATAGACTTCAAGCTTCCCATAAGACATCTGGAAGCCGACTCTGTATATGACTGCTTATCCAACTTATCATTCTCAATAATCTATCGTTTTTACAAGCATCAATTGCAATGGAAGAAAACAAATCTCCTGGAAAGAAACACCCCGACAGCACGGCTACCTCGGATAACCACGATGGCTGCTCCGTCGTCGCAGAGCATACGCAGGAGGTACCAGTGAGCTTCGGGCTGCTGTCTCTCACAGGTCTAGGCATCATCATTGGAGTTGTCTGGCCTGCTTCTGGTGGTTCAATCCAAGTCGCTATCTTCAATGGTGGATCTCCAGGTACATTGGATACCACCCACGTTACAGACTCAGAAAAACTGACCTAGCTATAGGTGTTTTGTACGAGTTCATCGTTGTATCACTCTTCTACTTCTTCGTCGCCGCATCCCTCGCCGAGCTTGCCAGTGCCATGCCTTCCAGCGCAGGCGTATACTACTGGGCCTCCATCACACCAGGAAAAAGGTTTGGCCGAATTGTTGGCTTCTTCGCTGGCTGGTGGAATTACCTTGCCTGGATCTGCGGAGCTGCAAGTATGGCTGCGATATGGAGCAACAGCATCATCCAGATCTATGCACTGAAGCACCCCAACTATATCGTGAAGGAAGTTCATGTCTTTGTGGTATTTGTTATCTCCACCTGGCTCGCCTGCTTCTCTGTCTGCTACGCTGGAAGAGCAATGCCTCTTCTCAACCAATTCGGCATCTACTGGCTCCTTATCGGGCTGCTCATCACCATCGTGGTTCTTGTAGCTGTGCCTCTTCGAAGCGGGGGAAGTGGACATGCAACCTCGTCCTTTGTATGGTTGGAGTGGCAAGCAGACCTCGGATACCCCAACATTATAGTATTCCTTGGCGGCATGTTGAACGGTGCTTACAGTGTTGGCTGTCCTGCAGCTGTAAGCCATCTGGCTGAAGAAATACCCCGTCCGCAGAGAAATGTGCCTCTTGCGATGGGCCTCCAGGTCATCACGGGTTTCATTTCGGGTTTCTCATATCTGATTGCTCTCATGTATTCCATCCACAGCTACGACAGGATCTTCACGAGCCCATTTCCGCTCGCCGAAATTTACCTCCAGGCTACAGGATCAGCCGACGGGACAATTTGTCTCCTAATCCTCATGCAGATATGCATTGGCCTAAGCATCATCGGTCTTTACATCACATCCGGACGAACCCTGTGGGCATTGAGCCGTGACGGAGCAACACCGTGGCCATCGGTCTTTTCTAAGTTCAACTTGAGGTTCGACGCACCTATCAATACAACCATGGCCTCGGCTGTGCTCGTCAGTCTCATGGGATGCATTTACGTGGCAAGCCAGACAGCGTTTAACGCTATTATTGGTTCATTCGTACTTATGTCTTCATCGGCATATACCGCGGCGATCCTGCCTCACCTTCTTACAGGAAGAAAAAATGTTGTATATGGACCGATACGAATGGGTAGAAAACTGGGGTTGGTGGTCAACGCTATTGCGAGCGCGTATATGGTGATTGCCTTTGTTATTTACTGCTTGCCATTCTCCTTGCCTGTTACTGCTAAGAATATGAACTATGCCTGTCTAGTTTGGGGTGGCTCGACCTTGCTACTAGGTATCTACTGGCTGTGGAAGGGGAGGCATGGGTATACAGGACCTATCAGGGAGACCAATAACTAATATTTGGTCGCAAGGATACTGATACTAAGACCATAATAGAGGGCTATTATTGAGAGTATTTCTAACCACAATAGACAATAAAATGGAAGCTTTTATGCCGTTGCTTTGTCTATAATGAGCTGCGAGGCAATAGTTCACTTCCTCTTGACCAAAATCAGTGCAACAGCCATCCTGGCCGCCAAAGCCGTCAGCTCAATTGGCTCTCCACTCTGTTCCAACACTTTGCGAACCTTGCTCATCAGGATCCGAGCGGGATCCTCTTCTGTCCCCACGAGCTCGGGATTTTCTTTCTGCCAGCGACTTAGTGAACCGAATGTTCCCACTAATCTCTCTATCCTTTGGACTTGCTTATTCACAGGCTCATCATGTCTTCCCTGGTTACTTTCCTTTCTGCCTGCATTAGGGACGAAGCCGTCTTCAGCAGTGAGGACACGGCGGGCAGACGCTTGCTGATCGTAAAACTCGGAAGTATCAGGATCATTCCAAGGCATCGGCAGATCGACATAGCCGTTTTGAGTGAGGTGAGTACCTGCGGTTGAGTATGGGGTAAGAGCGTCCAGAAACTCATTGAAGATGGATTGAAGTTCGGTGTTGTTATTGAATGAGCCTACACGATCTCGGTGAGCATGTATCAGCCGTCAGAGAAGGGCTTCTGCATACCTTGTTGTCTGAAAACAGTCCATATCGCCACAGTTCCTCCTGGTTTCAACACTTTGGCTGCTGCAGTCCAGAATTTCGGCATATCGAACCAGTGAGCCTGGTGACTATTAGTGAATACAATTTGGCTGAGAAAGGCATATATACCGCAGTCGCAGCTGTTATCATATCGACAGAGGAATGAGGAATGCTATCGATCTTGTCAATATCTTCTGCCGTGCTCAAATGGTATATGATTGGATCGCCGGAGCGAGCCTTGCCTCCAAGGGTAGTAGCTGTCTTTATCATGCTTTCTCCTGGATCAACGCCGTAAGCTAGATCAAAATGCGTCGCTAGCTTTTGAGTCGCAGTCCCGGGTCCAGAGCCAACATCCAATACACATCCAGTCGCTCCATTGGTAGATCTGTGATAGTTCAGGATGAAGTCGATAAGAGCGTCGGTGTATCCGAGTCGTCCTGCAGCGTAATCGGAAGCTTGGTCGGTAGTGTAATTTCTGAAGGTGACATCTCGCGGTTCTGATATATCCGACGTCATGATTGCTAACACTGTAAGAATATCTGCTCTGGTGTAGTGTTCTACTTTACAAACATGGATTCCATCGAGGCGGGGAACGATTTTATAGGCCTCTCAGGTCGGACATCGGGGCGCAAAGTAAGCACCGGCTCCGGGTATGTGACGTATCTCCAACGATAAATAATTTAGTCCCTCCGAATGAATTGACATGCTAATTGTTGAGTCCTGAATGAGCAGTTACGGAAATCAGTACATTATACTCGCTCTCAAGAATACATTTGTTTTGGTTGGGCATGTTACTAAATTGCCTGCGTGCACGCCATACAATAGCCACGCACCGAGCTTCATGATTACACCAACTTAGCTTTGGAGGAGCCAATACTCAACAACGTGTCAGGATAGTTATCACGAGTAATAAATACGAAAAATAATACCTGTTATCCGTATTAAAAAAAGATTAACAAGCTTAATCTTACAATTGTCGCTAGTAAACAGACTATTGTGCCGCTAATCAACGCTATTTAATCCTGTAACCAAATGTCACTATAATCATCAATAGCCTCAAGCCATTTTCAGCTCTAGGTCCAAAAAGAAATGAATTTTTTCTCAGGAGACAGCGCCACTGAGAGATAAGCTTTTCATAAATAGGAAATCCCTCTGTTGATTCCTCGGTCCAGATTTCCGTCTCTCTCATCCCAATATTGTCAACCTTTTGACGTCCGATCTTTACCCCCTGCCTTGTTTTCTGACCTTCATGATGGTCGCCATTCGCTCCTTTCTTATGCTCTCTGCCGCGGTCGGCATCGCGTCTGCTGGAAAATGCAAGCCTGAAAGCCATTCAAGCTCCATCGTGTCGGTGGCCAGCAGCACTGTTTCTGCCAGCGACACCGCCTCGTCAACTGCTTCCGCCTCGGCTACGCTCATCGAGTCTACTACCACTCTGGCTGATACCACCATGAAAACGAGCATTACCGACTCTGCTACTAAGACTGCTTCCAGCGACACTGCCTCAACAAGCGCTTCGGGCTCAGCCACGGCCATCGAGTCGTCTACTACTCTCGCTGATACCACCACCCAAACGAGCCTTGCGAGGTCTACTACAGAGACTGCTTCCAGTGGCACCGCCTCAGTCGAGTCTTCTACTACTCTGGGCGACACCATCACCACGGAAACGACTGTTGCGGAGTCTACTACTGAGACGGTTTCCAGCGCCACCTCTGCCGATGACAGCACAACCGAGTCGAAGCCCACTACTTTCCTCACTTCTTTCACCACGTCGAATGCAGACACCACCACCGAAGCTGCAACCACCACGACAGCTGCCGCCGGTCCCGTCGTCACCTGTCCCTCAGAGGTGGACCAGTGCCTAGGTACCATGGAGATCCAATGTGACGTGATTCTCTCGGGGTTGTCTGGCCCTATCACCCTCCCGACTCTGAACGAATGTGCCCAGGCCTGCAACTCCGACACTTCTTGCTTGGCCTTTACTTATTCGGCGGATTTGCAGTCATGCTTCAAGGTCACTGCTTCTGATTCCTACGCTGCCGTTTCTTTGGATGGCTGGGCATCTGGCATCAAGGGAACATGCGGTCAAAGCCCTGAACCCAGCAGCACCGTCATTACAACCACGGCCGAAACCACTACCACCGAAGCGGCAACGACGACAACCACACTGGCACCAGCCGGTCCTACCTGTCCATCAACGTCTGAGCAATGCGCGGGCAGCGCAGAGGTACTGTGCGATGTACAGCTCGATTGGTTGCAGCTCGCGGGAATCTCCAATGACATTCTCGAGTGCGCCTCGTTCTGCGATGAAGATGATGAATGCGCCGGCTTCTCCCGCATTCGCTCGAGTGGAGCATGCTTCAAGGCCATCCCTGACGAGGGTGCCGTCACCCAGACGGACAAAGCAGGATGGGACAGTGGCATCAAGTATACCTGCGCCAGTTAGATACCGCAAGAGCAGAGATGTACCGTGACCGACTGTTTAGCGAGCTGTCTTGATAGTTGGGAGGGTTTGTAAATGACTCGGGCGCGGGGTCGATGGGGGTTCCCTGAGGGCTCAATGCCACGCAGGGTAAAATTGTAATATTCTTGAACGTTATCATATTTGCACCACTATGTATATCATGTCTAGACATACTGAAATAGTATCAGCCTCTGGCTGTCTTGGTGATGTTAATGTGAAGCCCAGTCTTAGCAAGGGTTGTAGACATGTCCCCTCGATAGAATCAGATAAAGCCATATCAGGGTTTAGAAGACCTCAATCAAGATCTTGACTCACAGTATCACCTGGGGGTCTTTTTTTGCACTCAAATGAGATGGGAGATATACTAACGTAGTAAGCGTTCTGAAGATATAAGTCCTATTCAGCACTATACGTAAACGACTTTCCTGCATGTGATATTCCTGGTACCGCGACGCTGTAATCCCGAATTCTAAGGCCAAACAGTTCAGTTTATGACCATATTTATCTATGTGCTGGACGGGATCCGACTATTTAAACACCAAACCAAGCTGTACAGTCATTAAGTCTACCGCCCAAACCACTACAACAAGAGCGATTCAGCTAAAAGAAAAACAGGGATGCACTTCGTATTATACCCTAGTCTAGTCACCATCGGGTCTAGCTTCAGGGGTGGCAATGAACGATGCATCCCCAGAAAGGCCCCCTTAAACAAGCGCTTTCATTTTGACCTTGCGCTCTATAAATATAAAAATGCAATAGCTTTATTGTTTCTAACCGCAGAGCTGTATCTCATTGTTTGCACGATCTCCGACATTCTCTACAATTGGTCAGAGGTCTGAAACCCGCTTTGGAACGAGACGCTGAGGGCTGTTGCGCGTGTCTCTGCTCAGTCGCTAAGCTAGGTGCGATGTTGGTTCCCAGCGGCGTCAGGGCCGCTGCCCCGGATGAAGGCTGACCAGGCATTGGTGCTGATCGGATCCCCCACAATGTCGCAAGCCTTTGGCACCATTTCGAGGTTGATGCAATCTCCACTGAGTCGGGATGCTGACTAGAACAAGCGCCACCTAAACTCAAAACCTCAACTAGGTCTGGATACAATGCTTCCGATCCTATCACGACGCCATTGTCGTCCGAGGTTTCAAGCTACCCATCTCCACAGTAAGCAGAGATTCACGCTAGAGCTGCTAGAGACGAATCTTTCAGGAGAACGCGGGCCCGAGTCGGCTCTCCACATTCCGATCCAACTGTCTTATTGGGCGGGTCGACCCGCTAGATCGGAATTGTCCATGTGGGTATGGGGAAGATACCGTTACTTCCTCTTGCATGTACGGGGTAGCTACTAAATATATGAACTTGCCTCGTTTAGATCGTGGCTGCAGACCTTTGACTATTCCCTTACGGACTATAGGTGATAGAATGGCGCTCTCTGGCCCCTTAAAAGTCCTGCATTCCTTCTGTGACACACTGTCACCTCTTTCACCCACCAACTACGTGATCTGCTGCTGCTGCTGTATTGCACCAACATCGAAGATGGCGAGCGGTTCGGGCAACGATGCTAGGTCTCAAGGGCCTGATATTCTACGCCTGAACATATGCCTTACCGTATTCTCATCTCTCATCATGATCGCGCGCCTGTACGCTCGTTGCTTCATGACCAGGGCTTTTGGTGTTGATGATATTTTGGCATTAGTTGGTTTCGTGAGAGTCCCCGGGCACCTTTTCACATGAAATCGACGTTAACGCGTGTATGTTTTAGGCCTTGACTGTCGCCATCACCGCCATTGAGATCGCCCAGGTACAAAACGGATCAGGCTCTACAATGAGTACACTCACTTACGCGCAGCTAAAAGCTTTTTTCACTGTACGCGCCGATTCCCTGCAAAAATGACCACTTAGCTTTGTGTCCCAAACTGACTAAGAGAACCCAAGCTTCTACCAGTTGAACAAATGCTGTTGTTCCCAGCGCTCTGCTTCATTCGTCTCTCAATTCTGGCATTCATTCCCCGTCTTCGCCGAGATCGTACGTGTTGTATCATTTACACTACCAGTACAAACTGACAATCGACCTGCCGATAGATGCATTCATGCGATGGTTATGGGGCATCGGCGCTATCATCATCATGACAACTCTGGCACCATTGCTCTTCTTCCTTCTAGAGTGTAGACCTATCGCGTACGTGTGCCATTTTCTATCATTTTCTTCAGTCAATCATCTAATACCACCTCAGGGACCTATTTGATCACATGAAGCCCGACAGACATTGTGTCAGCCAGAAGGTGGAGGCTCATATGCTTTGGGCACATGCTTTCATCGGGATCTTCATTGATGCCGCACTATTCGGAATACCCATCTGGGTCATTTACAAAAACATGAGGTTTGGGTCTCAGGCGATAAAGGTTATTCTCGTCTTCTGCGTTGGCTTAGTTGCCATCGTGGTTGGCATTATTCGGCTTGGCTTCATGATGACTACCGACTTTGGCGTTGACACGTTAGTTCCCTACCTTGGCTCCTTTACTCCCACTAACATTTTCCTTGCAGGACTTACAAAATGGGCCGAGTTGCCATTTGGGTGTCAATTGAATTACACGTTGGCCTCTGGTGCGGCAGCTTCCCAGCTCTTCAGCCTCTGATTCGCCTCGTTTCCTACCAGGTTGGTCTCCGAAGTCACTTATACAGTACAGACAAGACGACCGCTCGAGGAACTCGGACCGGAACTCGGCCTGGTGCAAGCCAGTACATCAGGCAGCCCCATGTAGCTGATACCGACCCCGGGAGTGATGGCGCAAGCGCAAGAGCTATCGTCACAGGCGGTGACGGGACGGCAGAATCTGTAGAGCTTCGGCATGTGGACAGCAAAGGCATCACGGTGATGACTGACGTGGTAGTCAGGATAGAAGATCAAGTTTCCTCTCGAGATAGAGGCAAAATGGAAACAACATGGGATGCAGTCTAATAAAAGTAGTTGACTAGAATATCATACCTTTTTAAACAGAATTCTATGCTTTTAATATTTAAAGAATTCAAATTAAGGTTGATTGCATATAGAAACATTAAATTAATGGTAAATAAATACAGTTCTTCCAACTTATACTAGTATGTAGTTATCTATAACACAGAATCTGTCTATTTAATTCTCTCCCCAGCTCTTAGACCTCCCGGATGCTCATGGTCATCCCTTCATAAGTAGCTGGTGTATCACTACCTCCAATCAGCCAGGTGTGGCCAAACGCTCGCACACCAACAGAATTCAAGCTCCAAGTACCTGCAGTAGGTATACACGTCGGAGCCATACTGGAAGATCCACTAGAGACACAAGACATGGCTGGGACCGAGCACTCGATCCCAAAGGGACCAGACAGCTCGCAAGTCAAGAAAGCTGTTTGCAAAAGAGTCTCGCTATGGCAAGTCACAACAGTCGCAGGTTTGTTGAGTTCCTCGTTCGTTGCACCATAGTATCCGCACAGAAACCAACCGAGGTCATTCACGATCCTGCCTTGAGAGTCGATAGAGTATGATCGGACGGAAGGATTGTCGTCCTCGGTGGCAGGATCGAATATAGCGACAGCGCCGTCGCGGTTGTAAGTTTGAAGACTTCTACCTGAGACGGCGTTTGAGCCGGAAGCGAACATTGTGAAGGTAGGGATGGCTGCGGATGTGGTTGTCTCAGCGACGGTGGTGGTGAAGTCGGTGGTGGTTGGCTCAGCAGTTGTAACCTCGGTAGTGTAAGTCGTGGAGGCTGAGACAGCAGACGTCTCAACGGTGGTAGACAACAAATCCGATGTTTCAGCCGAGGAGGTAAATGTCTCAGTAGAAGAAACAAATGTCTCGCTAGAGGACTCAACTACCGTAGAGGAAGTGGCGCCTTCATCCTCAGTGGTGGATGCAAAAGAAGTGAACACTGAAGTCTCGGTGGAAGCATCTGAACTGACAGTAGTGGATATGGTAGCAGAAGGGACAGCAGAGGTTGTTGTGACTGAGGCTAATTTTATCTCAGTACTCAATCAATCAACACTCTCATCAATAAATACTCACGAGGCTTGCAGGGGCTTGCGACTGCAGAGCCAATGGCCAATAGGCTAAACGCCACTCGCAGATGAATGACAGATCTCATTGTCGCAGATAAAGAGTGACTGAAGTGAATGCAAGCAAAAGAAGAAGGGAAAACCAAGATTCGGCGGGTCTTTTGCATCCTTTTATTATCGTGAATTCGGCAATTGGAAAGGGGCCTCAAAAATGTCAACAGGCTAACAGATGCTACAGTCGATAGTGAGGTTTTTAGTGCAACGCCGAACCCAAGTTGACGGTTCAGCTAAACGAATTCAGCATACAAATCCCCTGGGCGTTAAGTACGCAGCCCGTTGATTGGCTGCATTAGTGCCGTCAGTGGCTGTAATTTCCCGGCTTTAGCAGAGAATCGTTGGTAAGGAAAAACAGAGTGAGAGACCAGGCGTCAATTGACTTGCGCTATCATCTGCCCTCCGTGGGGGTTCTGACTAGCTACCTACTCTCAAGTTTGACAGAGTGGCTTAGATCTAGCCTGCGGGAAGTTGAAATGCCTGACCAAATGAATCTAAAGTGTCTGCAGTGGCGGGTGCCACTCAAGTCTTCGTGGTCAATGATGCCTTGATTGACCTCTTCTGTCAGTGATCAGGCCAGATACGGCACGTCAGTACCGAATGAGGCTGAAGCATCAAGCTTATCAACGTCTAAGAAAATTGGCTTATTACACAGGTATACATTGCCTGGCTTTGGCCCAATATCTCCGGGCCATTTCCATGAATACCGACTCGAAATCTGACCAGAACCCTCGTCGGAAATCCAGATGCATGTTCCATCTGTAGTATTCTCCACCCTCATAGTCTCCATTGCTTCGGCATTCCCCACCAAAATCTCAAATCGTGAGCGGCTATTTCCTCGTCTTCTCTTGCGAAAACTAGATACGAATGCCGATGAGGACAGTCTGCGATTCCAGCCAGCCCTCGACTTTGACAGGGACAGTTGCTACCATACCGCAGCTTTCGATAGGGATGGGACAGTAAACAAAGGCTTCTCCGAATGGGGTGGCCTCCTCGCAAAGGACTGCGGCGAGAAATCCCGGCTTGGCAATGCAAACGTCTACACAAGGAAGCGCTGCAACAACGGTTGATGCGCATACATGTATATCCCAACCTCTCATACCCACGAGTTGCCACTGACCGGATCAAGGTATGACTACTATTTTGAGGCTGATAGAAAGGGTGACTCGACCAGTGGTCACAGGCACGATTGGGAAAACGTAGTGGTCTTTGTCAGAAACGACACCATCCGACGCGTGGTAGGCTCTGTGCACGGAAAGTATCACCACAGGGACAACCCGCTACTACAAGATGGTCACCCTCTAATAGTGTATTACAAGAGGCCAATGACAACTCATGGCCTTCAGTTTGCAAAGGATAAGAACTTAAAGAAGGTTGAGAACCATTATGGGGAGTGGGTTATCGCCGATCTAATTGGCTGGGATAGGTTCCCTACCGAGAAGTTCAGGAATAAATTATCAAAATATGACTATAGAAGGGCGAGATTTCATTTGGCGTATAAAAGGTTTTTGAAGAGTTTGCACAAGACAGCGGGAAAATATGTTCCTGGATTTAACCCTAACAAAGATGGAGGGGAGGAGTATAACCTTAACCCTGAGAAAATCAATATCAGGAAGGGCAAGAAGAATAAAGATAAAGTAGAGGATAAGAAGGTAAAGAGTATAAAGGGGGATGATAAAGAGGAAGACAAGGGCGAGGAAAAGAAGGAGGATGATGATTCCAAAAAGAGAATTAATATCAAGAAGGAGAAGGAGAATGATAAAGAAAAAGTAGAGGGGAAGAGAAA